ACTTGTCTATATTATTTAATGAAACGTGTATAAATGAAAAGATGCTGCCTAAATACACACAATATATATATATATATATATATATAATATATATATATGGGTAGCAACCTTTTAAACATCTTTCGTTAAATATGACTTAAATATAACAGACAAAAAAAAATTTAATTTTTTATTTTGTTTTTCCAGCATTCTTACATTTATACCCAACCGGCTATAGGTTAATTCATAAAGACTTGTATTGCTAAACCATTAATATCTCAAAAAAAATTTTTACAATCTAAAAATATTTTCTGATTTTAAATAACCTGCAAAGAGTTGATAAGGCATAAAAGACAAATCAATCAATCAATCTATTGAATCTGTAGTTCTGGCTCCATTGTCTTATACATTTTAACATAGAATAATAAGGCTGTTCATATGAGCAACTTTGTACTAGCCATTTGTTATTCTTCAATGCTGATTTCTTTGTTATACAAGCAATTCTAAAATATGACATTTACCCCAAATAAGCAAAGATAATGGTTTCTGGATTCAGTAGGTCAAAGATAACAATATTGACTGATCAATTTGATCTATATGTGTTGGATTTGCTGTTGAATGTTCTTTTGAAATAGTTTAGCTACCAAGTGTACAGAGTTCTGAAGAACTTTATAATGAAGAATGTTTGTGTGTCATTTATGAAGGTGAGACTGTTGACCTTTTTGCATGACCTTTTTCGTTTTGTGTGTGACATTACAATGTCAAAATAATTAAACAGATAAACAAATTTTTGCAGTCATACAGACCAGAAAGGGCACCTTGTTGTTGGGTGATGGTCACTAAACTTATCTTGTGTAACATTAGTACTGAATACCTCACATTTGTAACCTTGGTCCATACAAGGTTAAAATGTTAAGAAACTCTTGGGCTACCTTGATATAAATCAGTTGTTAGCTAAATAGTTTCAAAGACTATAAATATTGTAGAGGGTTTGATTCTCACTGTGTGTCTCACATTTGTAATTTTGTATGATAATCAGTCAGTTATGTGCCATGTGTGATACATGATTAGGCGATTATGTATCCTTCGATATCTGACTGATGAGACATATTTTTTTCCTGCAGTAGGTTGCCATTTCTTTCTGTGGTAGACCAGTTGCCATCCAAGGCTATAAAACCCAGTCTGTCCTGCTATTTACCCATAGCTGGTTGGGGAAAAGAGAATTCATACCTTTTCCAAGCATATTAGCACGTAAGTGAATGTAATGGATTCAACTGGATTTAAAGTCGGCTCTCCGATTCCTCAATTCGAGCTGCTATCCATTACTTCACTGTTAGTAAATTTAAATCTAGATCATGAGTGTTTTGTAGCATTTATGCTGTTCCAAGTAAATTCATTTTATAAAAAATATAAAATAGATTTGGGTTTATTTTTTTTATTTTTATTTATTTTTTTTTTTTGTCATTTAAACCTGTGGTCTCCAAACTTTCCCACCTCTGATAGGGAAATTGAAGGTTTTTAGGATCATGGAACCACCTCTTAATTGCTGTTGTTCCCAGGTCCACCCTGACCTGGGCTGGTAGCACCTGTTAGGGTCCCAGCTATGGGTAAATAGTAAACTTCCAAACAAAAATCAGCAATACATTTTTATGATGAAATGAGCAGTAATACATTTTTATAGCAAAATGACAATGAATGCAACACTAAAAAATGACAAAAACACATTTTTATAGTAAAATTACCAGCAATACATTTTATTATCTACAAACTGTGTATCTTGAAAAAAAAACCCAAAAAAAACATGTTTTCCCTGAAAGTATAAAATTATGTACAAAATATCTGTAGTTGTTGGCATAAAATTGTGTACAAAATATTTAGGTTTTGGCATGAAATAAACCCCATGTTGCTAAACAAAATCAACCAAACCAAATTTTCCCATACATAGGTCACATTGTATGTTTTACACATTTTAGATAGCTATTTTGGTAGACTGTTATTGCTCTTTTTTAATATAGCCTTGTGCCAAATGATGCAAAGCGTATTAAATATTATATATATTATGCCTTTAAATTCCTTGAGGAACACAGGGCTGCATGCCAGTTTTTAAGTGAGTAGCTTGTTAGCCTACTGTAAAAACCTTCAATCTGGAGGATCAGGTTTTGAATTCAGAGTTGTCCTTCTCTTAGACCAGTTGCCACTCAAAACTATAGAACCTGGTCTGTTTTGCTATTTACCCATAGCTAGAGGGGCGGGGAAGAAGAGGATTCATACTTTTCCCAAGGGTATTAGCACATAAGTGAATGTAATGGATTTGACTGGAATTTGAACTCTGCTCTCTGACTCCTCAATCTGAGCTGCTATTCATTACTCCACCATGCCTCCTCTAAGCTTATTAAATAACCGTATTCAATTCATGATGGAATAGACGTTAACTTTCAGCAGCCGTCTCCAAATTTTTCAGTACTAAGGTCATATTGTATAGCGACACATTTTCACAAGTCGAAGAAAAAAAAAATTTAGGATGGATTTTTTATTATTGACTTTAAACCTTTAAACATTATTATGAGTGGATGATCATATTTGAGTAGGCACACTATTTATTAAACAGTATATATATATATATATATATATATATATATATTTGTCTACCAGCCTGAATACTCAAAAAATCTTATTAAATAAAAATTTGCACTCTCTAGCAGGGTTTGAACCTGTGTTCCCCAGGACAGAAGAAGCTACTGTTAAGTGTTTAAAGTGATAAAGAAAAAATCTGTTTCATAATTGAGTTGATAATATTTAAATGAATGAATAAATTTATTTGGATTCTTTTTTGTTATTAATTTGGTATGATTAAAAAAAAAAAAAAAAAAAAAGTGAGAGAGATAAATTTGTCAAAGAAATAAAATTATAGCTTGCTTTAAACTATTGTAATCTTTTGCTTTTTCTTTACATTTTAATGAGATTATTCCTGAGCTTGAAGGTGACATTTTCAATCTGTTGTTAGCTGCACTTGTAATCTAGTTTATAGACTATTTTTCTGTCCATTCTCTCTTGTAGATTAGAATGTCTGTTGATACAAAGTTTTTTTAATTCCATTTGCCAAGTTCCTTTGGTTGTTGGTACTAGCAGACCTTTATATATTTTGTAGGCTGGGTAACTGTCTCTTTCTGAAGAATGTCCCACATGTTTTATCTTTCATTTGCTACTTATTTGGGTCATCAGTAAGTTTTGCTTGGTATTGTTGGTATTACTTGTATATAGAAGGGGAAAAAGTCTGTGCCTCCTTTAGAATGGATACAGAAGCTAAAGGAATCGGTACATATGGTATGGAAAATTGCCATTAGCAAATGTACCTAATATGGTGATTAATACTATAACAGGATTTGTGATCAGAACTTTGACAGAAGTAAAACTCACCATAAGTAGATCCAAACAAAACTACCTGTCTGTTTAATCCTGTGAGTTAATAAAGAAGGATTATGGAAAGAAAATTTCCTTTATGAGGGGAGAAAATAGTATCAGCTCTAGTGTTAATTTATTATAGTAGAATAAAAGAAGGCTGAACCTGATATTGTTGAGGCATTGAAAATGGTCTAAGCAAGTTTCTGCAAGTTGGCAAGGAGACAGCAGGAGAACACGACCTGGTGAAAATGACTCGCTTAAAAATGACAAAAAACGTCCTGAAATACTTTTTGTGATTGGAGGGACAATAGTTTAAAAAAAAAAAAAAATGAAATAATATATAAAATTATATAAAAAAATTTCAAGTAAAAAATTAATAAATTAAAAAAATGTAATGAGGTCAAAGCCCAATGAATATCAGACAATACATATAGTGATTAATTGTAAGACACCTTAAAATATTTGTTACAACAAATGGTACAGTGTAACCCGGATATAAGAGAGTTGTCAGGACCGGAGAAGAAGTCTCTTATATCCGGGTTTCTCTTATATCCGGGTTTGGTCTATTTTGTTTAGCTAAGTATGGGAACACTTTGGGACCAGAGAAAATCTCTTATATCCGGGTTACACTGTATTTAAGATCTGGTTGAGAAAAATAATGCATATATCAATTTAACTAATAATATATTATGCCAAAAAAAAACTTATTTTTCAATAATTGACAGAAAATTCTTCAGACATTTTTACCAAAATTAGAGAAGTTTATAAAAGTTGACATATTTTGGTGTATATACACTTTTATTTTGATCCAATTCCATATTGATAACATAATTTATATTTGAATATATATATATATATATATATATATATATATATATATATATATATATATATGAAATGGATCAAGTCTGACAATTATTTAATATGATATGTTTTCTATTTATCTATAAAAATAATGTATAAACAGAAAATTTGGCATTTATGTACATCGCGTATATAATACGTTAAAAGGTTCCCTTTCTTTTCTGTGTGCCAATACCTTAGGGATAGTCTCTGGCTGATGCCAAATCAGTTGAGTTTTGATCCCAGCTTGAAGCAATCCGATGTTTAGCCACACTGATGAGCTGTGAAACAGCCAAACAGTCTTTTGTGTGCACACACATGCATATATATATATATATATATATATATATATATATATATATATATATATATATATATATATATATATAGTAACAAAGGATTACTTAAGGGTTAAGCTGTAGAAAACAAATCAATCATAATAATATATATAGTCTATTAGTCAAAATTAGCCTCACACTAAGGAAATGCCATTGCAGTTACACATGGCAAAAATACAAACCCCAGTCTTGTCTCAAAAACATTCCAGACTCATCTATATCAAAAATCCAAGTTCGGGCACTTCATCCTGTAACAAAAGGCCTAAGTATAGATTAATTAAAATTTGAGACTGCCTGTAAAATTGAATAGAGCATTTTTTGAGAAATGGATTCCTATAACTTGCTATTAATTCTGAATCTGGCGTAGTTTATTTGAATAGGTATAACAAACATGTAACCATTTTAAAATATTAACGTATATAATTGTATTTATTACAGATTGGTAATAATGCTGGCCCCAATGGAAAATACTTGGCTGTGATACAGGCTCTCTGCAGCAGGAAGTACTCTGCCAGTGGTAAGTGAAACACATTACTATTCATTAGATTTTTTACATTAATAGAAGAAAACTGTATAGTAAAGAATTTATATAAATTTGAAATAATTTAAAAAGATTTTAAATCGTGCTTTTTTTATTTATTTATTTTTTTTTTTAAGCAGAGGAAAAAGGGTTAAAACACATTGCAAATGGGTTTTACTATTCTGGTCATTTTTTGAAAAAAAAAAAAAATCTTTTTTTTTTTTCATTTTGAAGTACATTTATGTTCAAAATATATATATATATATATTATATATATTCAATATATATATATATATATATATATATATATGTGTGTGTAAACAGTGACTATTACTATTATTAATACAAGACTCTCCCAATGGATTGAGTCCTCTAGGTCGCTGGGCGTTTATGAAAAAAATAAATTTAAAAAATTAGTCTTTTCTCTCTGCGGGTGGTGATAGTCTAGGAGTTAGAATCTCCGACTGATGCCAAATCGGTCAGGTCTTGGTCCTGGCTTGAAGTGATCGGATGTCTAGCAAAAACTGATGAGCTGCAATACAGCGAAAAAAGTCTATGGTGGATGTGTGTCTATATATATATATATATATATATATATATATATATATATATATATATATATATAATGTATATGCTAGACATTGAAATGTTGGTCCACAGTGTTTGTATTGTTAACTAACTCACACTTAGTACTACTTCCAATAATGATAATAGTTTCAACAGGTTTCTTAAACTGGACTTGACAATTGTTTTGATGCAAAACTCTGGGGTTAGTCAATGAGATTAGTCCTTTGAACATGTATTGAATATTATAGCTCTAGTTAATGAGCACTTTTGGTAGATGTTCTGCTGATCTTAAAAGATGTTAAATTCTCATAATTTCACATTTATTTTACATTGTATTAGTAATTATTAAATTTTTTATTTAAATATTTTTATTAATTTTGTTTTTTTTCATAAATTTTGAGTTTAACTAAGTCTGAAATGTTCTATTTTCAGCTGAAAATGATTTAGTGGTCATTGGTGGTGGCCCTGGGGGTTATGTTGCTGCTATTAAAGCTGCCCAACTTGGTCTCAAGGTAAGCTGGTTCGTTATTATCATTAGCATATGGATTATATTTGGTTGTTTTAGCTGTGAGATGTCAAGTTATTAGCAAATTCTTCTGACAGCCGTGCATTCTGAACTGTTGATGTTATGCTGTCTCCACTTACAATGAACCCACTTATCTCTCTCTCTGTGTGTGTATATATATATATATATATATATATATATATATATATATATATATTTATATTGATTTGGATTTGTGACCCTGGGTTTCATGCTATTTGCGATTGTCAGACAAACTGATTAATTTTTAAATTTTGGATTTATATATGGTTGTGTATATCGGTGTTTTTATGGAGGAAAAATTATCATCTGAATGCCACTCATACTTACGCAGACACACACACACACACACACACACACACACACATGCACGCTCACTCACTGGAGCTCGTACAAACATAAACATATGTCAACAGTATGGGACTGGGCATATATGCGCATCCATGTGTCGTTGCGTACATACATACGCATTTGGTCACTGTATTCAATGTTGGATTGTGTAGCGAATATTTTTTGTTTGTTGCTCTGTCAATGTGCAGACCATTTTTCTATTTTGTTCACTGAATAATGTTTTCTTGCACACACACATATATATGTATGATGGGGTCTGTGTAAGGCTATGATTTTTAATTTTTTAAGGTTGTTTTGTTATTATTTTAAAGCTGGTTATTTGCTTGTTTTTGGTGATTGTGCATATGTAAATGGTAGAAATTCCAATTTGTAATACTTAGTATTTATGTGGTCGTATTAATTTTGCTGGGGGAGGGAGAAGTAAGTATAATTGTGAACTGATATGGTAAAGGTACTTGTGGTACCGTAGTAATTGTGGACTAATACGGCAATGGTAATTGTGATGTGATAGTAATGGTGGGGGGAGTGGGTGATGATAATAACAATTGTAGCAGCAAATAGTTATTGTAAAGTGGTAGAAGTGATCGTAGTAATGGTGGTGGAATGATAATAACAATAATTATAATTATTATGATGATAGTTTGAACTAGAAAATAATTGGTGTTATGGTGTCAGTGGTTTCCCTTTTCATATTTATAGGGTCAATGGTGGATTAAGTAGTAGTGTTGGTTGGTATTTTTTTATGTTTGTCATAAATTCTGAAAATAGGTATTTTGTTTTCATGTCTGCATTTAGAAATTATTTCTGATCTTATGTTTAGTAAATTCTTTTGTTGGGTATGAGAAATTATTGCTACCTTTTTGTGTAGGCAAAGTAAGCATTTCTTTGTAATGTTGTTGTAGGCAGGTGCTTTTTTTCAATATTTTCCAGCTTATTCTTGGTGTAATATTTCTGTCTTTTAGATGCCATATGTATGTGGATAGTGTAGTGCTGTTTGAGTATTTTCTGTCGGTGAATGAGAGGTATATATAATTTCTTGGTAGCTTTAGAAAATTGATTATTAATTTTCTAAGGATACCAAGAAAACTTTAAAAAATAGACTTGTGGGCTTTGCTGTGATTAAGCAATTGAAAGTGACCTATACTAAATTCAAATTCACTGGAAAAAAATTTTAATGTATGTCATGACACAAAGTTGTTTGCATATAAAACCTAGACAATTTCCTTATGGACAGATACAGATTGTTACATTATTAAATGTAAGATGTACTGAATTCTGAGGCTCAAACTTCCCAAGAAGCAAAAGTGAAAGAGGTGGGGGATTTAGCATAATTCTAGCCAGTTATATGCTTGTTCAGCTTCTTATATAAAATTTTGTTGTTGATAAATAAAAGACCCCTTTTAGAACCTGGCAAACAACTGTTCAAAAAAAATAAAATATTTAAAATATATGTGTGTGTGTGTAATTTTTGGAAAGTGCTCAATATCAGTGATAGTTAACATATTTAGTTGTATGGATATGAGTGTGTCTCTGGATTTCATGCTTTTGCAATCAACAGCTGGCAAACAATTGTTAAAAAAATAACACACACACACACAGGGTTGATACAGATGAGATAAAATTCCAATAACCAAAAACACTATTCTTAAAATACACCAATAGTGTTGAAACAAAATTGCAATTTTTGTAATGTTATAACGTGCATATGTTATAATTTTGAATATATATATATAAATATATAATATATATATATGGGATCAAATCCTAGACTGATCAACAAGTCACTGCCTTGATAAATCAAACTTAAGTCTCATGGTCAGAATGCTAACTCTCTAAGCACTTGGCCACACATCCATATTCTTATTAAATGAAGCTATTTAAAAAAAATATTTTTGCTTTTGACATAATAATTTGGCTTTACTTAGCATTTTTTTATGTAAAGCATTATGTCAAAGTTTAAGAAATTATTTTTCCTATAAACAGAGCTTTGCTGCATTATCAAAGTTTCTAAAACCTTTTTGGTATTGACCAATAGGAATTACTTCTTTTGATGATAATGATTGTTTCCCTTGAAAAAACTCTCCCTCAGAAACTATAAATAAATGGTTTAGCTGTGCCTCCCCATTCAAGCTCAATAAAGTCATAACGTCTCCAATGTCTACATGCCCTCTAAAAAGTTGTTTATTAACTACTGGTGGAAAAAGAGTGCTTAGAGAATTAAACACTCACAAGACCTATTGAAAGTAACAAAAGCAGGTGAAAATCTCAAGTAACCTACTTTAATGAGTTTGTGTGTGTGTGTGTATGACAGAACAAGGACAAAAGAGGTATGGTAAAATGTTAAAAATTACTTTGACCAACTAAAGAATGGAAGTTGTAGAGAACCATGATCACCAACATCTAGAAAGAAGTTAGTATCTAAAATAAGATCATTAGCCTATGAATATTATTACATATGTCATATTACTAGTATAATGTTAAACTAATAAGTACAATAATTGAAAGAAAAGTTTAAAGAAAATAAATTAAAAATTTGTTTTCAACTGTAATGTATTGCTTATAACATGGGTGGCCAAACTTGCTTAATATAAGAGCCACATATGATAAAGTTCATATATTAGGGAGACACATTTTGTTACACAATATTAAGAAATGCATGTATGCAATAATATTTTTCATGTATGCAGTTTTTTAAACAGTTTACTAACCATGAACATTAAATTTGTGTTTTAATCTAATGTTGTCTCGTTTCATACCCAGTGAATAATTATATAGCTTGACACTACCTTTTATATTAACTGTAATGGAAAAAGGAGCTTAGCCAACATATTTCCAAGAGTTGCATATTAAAGGTCAAAGGGCCACATGTGGCTCATGAGCCACTGTTTTGCCACCCCTGGTTTATAATGTGACAGTATTTTAAAAATAACAAAAAGGTAATCTATTAATCATTCAATAAATCAAATTGTGCACAAAGCAAATCATCTTTTCTTGAAGTTTTTTTTCTTTTTAAAACAAAAATTCTGTTTAATATTTCAATTTTATTTTAGACAGTAAATGTTGAAAAATATGAAACATTAGGTGGCACATGTCTCAATGTTGGCTGCATCCCATCAAAAGCTCTTCTCCAAAGTTCTCATCTCTACCATCAAGCTACGTCGAAAGACTTCAGCAGTCGTGGTATAGAATGTAAGTATTTATCATTTGCTTATGTGTTTTGGGTTCATTTAAAGTTGAATTGACTTTATGTTGTGAAGAGTTTGACATTAGCATTTAATCATTAGCTGTTAAATGAACATTATTTTGCTTTTAAGTGTTTGTGTGTGTAACACTTTTTGAGGAGCACACAGATAATACAATCTTGACTGGGGAGTGGCAATTTAATCCCAGGCAAAAGTGCATACATAATCTTAATTTTTGACAGGTACTATGTTTGTGTGTCTCAGTGCATGTTTCTCCCTGTATGTATCTCTCTCTGTGCATGTCTTTGTGTGTTTCTCTATTTCTATCTCTCTGTATGTGTGTGTGTTTCTCTTTGTGCATATTTGCCTGTAACCCCTGCTTGTGTACTGGCTTACCATCTTTGTGCGAACTTGCTCACCTGTCTTTGTGCTTGTGTATGCATCCATCTCTAAGCCCATCTCTGCCTCTGTGTGTGTATGTGTGTGTGTATGCGCGTGCATGCATGTGTGTATCTGTCTGTGTGTGTCTCTCTCTCTCTCTCTAATATATGGACTTTTTGTCAAGCATTATGTACATGCCCCCTCAGATTTGAATGAAGGTTTTTCATTTTCATGTTTGGAGATTTTTTAATTAATGAATGTTGATTTGTATTAAATCATTAAATGAGATCATTAATTGTTGTTCCTGAAAATGGTGGTAAGTTTGTGATAGAAAACCTTGACCTTAGTTTCCTCTACCTTCAGTCTTTGCTTTCTCCAAGCCTTTGTATTTCATAAGGAAGAAATCATCATGTCAGCTGATCTTTTCTTTTTTATTATTATCATCGTCTTTACATCCATAACATTTATAAACTTTCAAATTTCTTAACACATTGTCCAATTTTAAGAAATTATTTTTTTTATTATGACACTGACTACAAGTTATCTCTTGTCAACTACGAGTTATCTTGTACTTGGCATTTTCTGATACAGTTTTCATCTGTAGGTGCCAACAGCAATTTTGAAAACAATGTTAAGATTTCAGTTGAGGCTATAAATCAACTTGTGAAAATGTTTTATTGTCTAAGTTGACTACTATAAAGTTGGGCGTTCTGGGTAAGACGATAAACTACATCCAGCAGTAAGGCCTCTGATCAGGAGGTTTTGAGGAGTGTGGAACCACCACTTAATTACTGGTGTTCTGAGGTCCACCCTGACCCAAGAAAGGAAGTGGGGGATAACACCTATTAGAATCCCAGCTATGGGCAAATAGTTAACTATTACCAGCAATACTTTTTTGAAAAAAATTATTGCCAGCAATATAATTTTGAAGGAAAAATATTACCAGATTTTTGACTGAATAAAATACTACCAGCAATAAAAAATGTTGTCGGCATTAAATAACCCATTGAGGTTGATATGCTGTAAAAAAAAAAAAAAAAAAAAAAAAATAAACCAAACCAAATCTATAAAGTTAGTATTTGAAGTCAGATCTCGTAATAGACATCTGCCAGTCAACGTGTTAATATCTGCTGGTTCTGTATCATGTTAAGATCTAAAAAATATATTCTAATGTATATTTTATGATGAATTATCTGAAGGAAATAATTTGTAATGCATTTTAATAGTGACAGAAAATAATTGAGTTTTCAAAGATTTCTCTTGTTTTGGCATTGAATGTAAGTTGCAGTTGAAAAAAAAAAGACAATTGGAACAAGATGAGGTTTAAATATGGATCAGATAAAAAGAAAACAATTCAATGTTTTCTATGGAAACTAATTCTGGTTGTTAATCAATCTATGTAAATATGAATAGTATTTTCATTTTAGTGTGCATTTTGCTTTAATCAATAAGCAACATGAACAGATTACTAGATACTGAGACAATTCCTCTAATTAAAGATTTTCAATATTTATGTAGGTACATCAATGAACCAAAAGAAAATGAAAAACATTGTATTTATTTTGCGCAACAAATATTTATGTATAGATTGGACATTATGAGAGAGTGCTGAAAAGTTTTCAGACCAACCCACTTTTTAAAATCAGTATTTTAATGACCAAACACTGGAATGTTTTTTTGGGAAAGGGGGAAAGAAACTTGAGGAACGGCATGCCAAGCATATTGAAATGAGGGTGAATATGTGGACTAGCATGTACATTTGATAGCTTTTGGTCATTGTATTTTTTTATTTTACTTCAACCAATACAAGGTCCAAGAGCCACTCAAGGTAGAAGGTTATGGAGTGAGATTGTTGTAAGATTGATTGATTTGTTTTTTACAGCTTAATCAATGCTTTACAGGTTATTTAAAGCCACAAAATATCTTCAGGTTGTAAGAAATATTTTCGGAGATTATGGTTTACTTATACAAGGTTTACTAATTAACCCTTAGCTGGAGGAAAAAAGGTGGGTTCATACCTTTCCTTTGGCTATTTGTGTGTAAGTCAGTGATTCCCAAACATTTTTTTTCTGGGCTGCATTTTCAGAATGAAAATTTGCTCACAACTCACCAAATTTTATGCAATAAAAAGTACATGTATGAAGACACTGACCCAAGGGAAGAAAAGTCCTAGTGAAAAGATACAAGCAGCCCTATGGCAAAGAAGGGCCAGAGAGAGAGAGAGGAGTAAAGGGAGATAACCACAGATTCAAAGTCAGAACATTATCAGTGATAACTCTCTCCACCAATTTGTGGACCCTAGTTACTATATTCTTAATACTTGATAGAATGCAAAAATTATTTATAACTATTTTATACAGAGACTCATGCATGCAATTACAAGTAATCCATAATATTTTATATTTTGAAATCATATTTATTTTTGGCATATGAAATTTTTGAAGCTGTTTCTAAATCTTTGTCTTTCAATCATTTTGCATCACCTACTATCCTCTTCCACCACGCCTTTTGGAAACCAATGGCATAAGTGAATATAACAAACTAAACAGTAATTGTAAGTCTGCTCTCTGAGAGAGATTGTTGTAAGGGAGGGGGAATGAAAAAGTAAGAAACACCTATTATGAGGATATGTGCGATAGATATGGATTGACCCTAGACTTAAAGGTCTAAGAACTTTTCAGCACCCCCTCGTATACAGTGAAAATTACAAATCAAAATTCAGTTTATAACTGCATGTTGGGTTGTTGACCAATCTTCTACTGTAACACAAAGTTCATTTTTATAAATTACTTTGTAGATTTTGTTTTTTATTTTTTGCATAATGGTTGCAAATATTAGTTTGACTTTCATTTTGACATAAGTTTGTTCCTATATTGTAAACAGTTGCTTAACTTTCATAATTTCATTTAAAAACGATTAAATTCTCTTTTGTATTTGCTTATTTAGGTACAGGTGTCAACTTGAATTTGTCAAGTATGATGAATCAAAAATCAAATGTTGTCAAAGCTCTCACAGGTGGCATTGCCCATCTTTTTAAACAAAATAAGGTAAATTTTCTATACTGTCAAAATTTTCTTTGCTTTATTTTTTTTTTTTTTTTTTTAACATCATGTGATGTTTTATTATTTTTATGATTTTCTCAAGGAATCTCCATTTATTGTCAATAATATTTTTTATTGTTTTAGGTAACTCGTGTTAAGGGATCTGGTGAAATTACTGGACCCAATGAAGTGACTGTCACAAAAGATGATGGTTCAAAGGAGATCATCACTACCAAAAATATTCTCATAGCCACAGGCTCAGAAGTTACCCCATTCCCAGGCATTGATGTAAGACCATTTCTTAATGTATTTGACAGTTTTTATCAGTACCCTAGAGTTTGCACATTCTATTAGTTTTAGTACCAAACTATGGGAAAGCAATATATAAAAATTTATATATCGTTTTCCCATGGTTGATATATTTTTATATATCAAGAACAATTTTCAGGATAAAAACTATGACAAATATAAAGGTTTTTGTGTGACATGTTTTGTCCTTTGAGATTAAAGCAATGTTTATATTGATGCAGCTACACATTTGCATGAAGGAGAGGAGATACTGAGAATTATAAATTTAAAAACCTTTTTTTTTTTTGTTTTTCAAATATATGCTTTGAATATACAGTCTAGCTGATTTAATTTAGTTTCTTTTTGTTCATGTTTCCATCACTTTTGTTATTAAGTATCGCACATTGTGATAATAAAAGATCTGCCAAGAAAGGTCAAATTTTGTTATGACCTGTACATAAATTTACTGTGGATGATCTAATGATTAAAGCACTTACTATACATTTTCGTCTTAGCAAATTGCTTTCTTTTAAATCAAAATTATCAGTGTCATTATGGTAAGCAACTAATGCATTTAGTGTGTTGTCTTGCAAAAGATCCCTTTTGTGTTCCTTTAATCTTTTGAAATTCCTTGAGGTTCCTCTTATATATTACTTGTGACAATTATTACAGGTGATAGTAAATTCTTCATTCAACTTTTAGCTTATTATTTTGTTTAGTATTAAGTCTTTTATTGTTTTAGAAAGATTTGTAACAAATTTTATGTTAAGCTTTTCAGTTGTAGTTGTGATAGAGTTGGTGGGTAGAACAATAGATTTTGATTCACCGAGTTTGTTAGGAAGGTCCACTTTTCTATTTTGAAATATTTTATGAGCCTTTTGTTTCATGTAGAAGTTGAAATAATTAGGGTATTAGAGGAGATTAAAAGTATTTCTGATGTACAGGTTGAAGTAGAGAAGACTTGACATTTTTGAAGTACAGAAAACAACATCCCTCATGTGGTGTCCATTTTCATTGATGCATTTCTGAAGGCATTCTTGGAAGTTGGCCTCCACTTTTTCCAGCATTGCTCTGTCGATTTGGGCGACTTTCATGTGAATAGCTTCCTTCAAATCATTCAATGTATGGGGCTTATGGATATACACACATGCCCTGAGGTTTCCCCACAAGAAATAATCACATATGGACAAATCAGGGGACCGATAGGGACAAGAAGTGTCAGCAAATCTGGAAATGTGGCCATCACTAAAGAACTTCCATTGAGGGTCTGGTTGTGTGGGCTGTCTCTCCATCCTGTTGAAACCACACACATTGGATAGAAATAAGTTTTTGTTGTAATTCAGGCACAAAGAAGTTGTTTATCATCTCAATATAATGATTGGAGTTCACAGTAACGGCATTTCCATTATGGTCTTCAAAAAAAGTGAGGACCAATGACACCAGAATTTCCCAACAGTGCACCAAACCGTCACTTTTTGGCCTGTGCACTGGTTTTTCATGCAGTTCTCTTGGATGTTCAAGAGACCAATAACGACAATTTTGTTGATTCACCATGTCATTGAGATGAAAATGAGCTTCATCCATTTCGAGGCATTATACATTACACCACCAGCACATCTACAGCACCTTTTAGTTCTAAGCGGTCACCCATCTAGGCATTGCTTAACTTTGGTGTGGTGTTTCAGTGCTGATCACAGGTTAGAATTTGAACCTGTCCCCAACCCCTTTACAGGACAAACTACCGTCTGTTACGTGGAACTTCACATTTAAACATGGATCTAATTTGACTTAATGTACATTCACTTGTTCAGATTATCTTGAAAGCCATATCTGGTCAGCAACAGAATCTGGACATGTTTTTATTGTTTCAAACCCTCTGGTTCACAGTAACAGCATTTCCATTATGGCCTCCAAAACAAGTAAGGATCAATGGCGCCAGCATTTCCCAACTGTCCACTAAACTGTTACTTTTGAGGCTGTGCAGTGGTCTTTCGTGTAGTTCTCTCAGATTTTCAAGAGCCCAATAACAACAATTCTGTTGATACACCATGCCATTGAGACGAAAATGAGCTTCATCACTCATTAACAAAATGAGGTTGTCATTTGCTTCAAAAATTGCTTCAATATGCTGCAGTACATGGTCCTCTGGTCTCAACTGAAGCCAGTAGAGATAGAAATGCAGTTCTTCATGCAAAATACACCTTACCGAACAATTATTGATGTCAAGTTCAGTAGCATGCCTCTGAGCAGAGCAAATTGGACTGCACAGCAAAGCTTGTCTGATGTCTTCCATGTTTTCTGGGGTACGTACCATTCATGGGGTCCCACCAGTCTGCTATTCATTAGTATACCTTGTGTATGAAGTGCATGAACCCAATGTATAATTGTGTTATGAATGGGAACAACCTGATTTTGGTGAATGTTGACTTGGCATTGAAACTCATACTGAACTGCTGTGACAGATTTGTTATTCTTCATGTAACTGTCATAGGCGAAAACATGATGCTCTATCATCCACACTGTCATGGCTTCAACTGAAAAGAAAAAAAAATATGCCAAGATACCACAGACTGAATGGTAGCTGTTGGACATATATACCTCCTCTTGGGGCTGAGTAGCCATTTCAAAAATGTTCATCCTCTCTGCCTCTGTATTTCTCCTCTCTATAAATATTGAGAGCTACAAATTCAGATTTCTTTTAAATAGAATCTGATAATTATTCTGGATTTTATTTTGTCATGGTGAGAATAGAAATTTATAAGATCATTTTTATTAGTTGATTTGTGATGGACACTTCATTTTAGCTTATTGTCACTGCAGGGTAACATGATATCTAATAAAGTTAAAATGTTATTTGTTTGCATTTCATAAGTAAATTCTATTGTATGTTTTGACTTTGTTTAGTTTATCTACAAGGTATCAACTGTGAAGCTGCAGTTAACTAACCATCTGAAGATGGAGCAGTTCTTGATAGCTCTACTACTGTTTGCAACTTTCTTATTAGATTTAGTTCTTTACAGAAGAAAGCTTTAATCATATCGTATTTATGGAATTCTAAACAAATGTGTAAAAAAAAAATAAAAAATATGGCAGAAATCTTAAAATCAGACTTTATTAATATAAAGCCATCTCCAGGAAAGTGTGAAAAGTATTACTCTCTTTGAGGTAAAGTCCAAATGCATATACAACATATGTTTACAGGTGTACTTGGTTCCAGAATCAGGCTGGTTTATCCATATTGCCAGAATAAATGAAATTACATTTACATCTAATTATTATTGTGTAATTGTTGTATCCTTAAAAAGGTTACAAACAGACAAACGTGGTACTCGAGTGAAAGGAACAGCAACACAGGTGTAGATAGAAGAAAGAAGTTTATTGTTAAAGAGAATACACTACTGAAAGACAGGGAATCAACTAGCACTTTCCGAAGCCAGTCAGACAGAGAGACAGACTCTGGTATGTCCTGTACACACTACATATATTACTGATATAGTCAGTCCACAATAGGTAATAGGGAGAGTGGAACATTCCATTCCAACAGTAATTAAATTGAGAATTTTACAAAATCAATAAAATTAATAAGCACTGAAGTATAAACAATTAAGAGACGGTTCTAACTATAAATCCATTTGTGACAATTTGGTGAACAATATGATTGAACTTTAATGGAAATGAGTTTCCCTTTCCAGCCACCCTTAGTTGATCATTGATAGTGACACTATCCAACAATGGAGACTATTGTAATAGACCATTCTGAAGTTTCTTGAAGAACATCAGATGTGATAAAAGGAATGACACCAATGTTATTTTCATAGACCAAAGGTGGTGTTTCATTTGCCATTTCTAAAAGTTACCCAATTCAGCAGACATTTGAGAAAGACAAGATGGAGGCTGAAATGTGATAACAATGACAGTTTTGGGTTTGGGGAACTGATCTGTAAGAATCCATTGAGAATGGTAACAATATTCTTCCTCAGATAGTCAAGATAACGCTATAATAGCATTTGCTGAATAGTTCTGAATCTAGTTCAACTGCTTTTAATTTTGATCCTTTTATTCATATCTATGAACATTAAATTGATTTTTCTTTTTGGCAGGTCAATAAAAAAAACATTGTCAATTCTACCCACGCACTGAATTTGACTGAAGTTCCCAAAGAAATGGTCATTATTGGAGCTGGTGTTATTGGAGTGGAATTGGTAAGAATAAGTCATCATTTTTTTCTTTGTAACAAAAGACATGACTTACCTTGGAATTTGAAACGAGTGCGAACGTGTCTTGCCTGCAAAGTGATGACAAAAAAAAGAATATGTCTGCTATTGAAGACACAATTTATGCACGCATATCTCATCCAAGACAAGATGATATTTGCACACATGCAAATTTTGGCCATCTTGGAATAGCATAAAAAGCGGGGGGCCAGCAGCACAGGGAGAGAAATCATTCAGCAGAATGCTTGTGTTAGAGTTAGAAGTATGGATTGACAGACAGACACAGACAAAGAGGAAGTTGAAGTAGGCGTGGCTGAGTTGGTGTCTGTTTCACAACTGCCCAGTGTAACAGCCGAGAAAGGGAGCCATGCAATCCATTTCTTTGAGGCAACCGAAGAAGAAGAAAAAGAGCTGGCCTGTCGGCGATCACTGCACTTTTTGACCCCCTCATCATCATTTATTTTTCTCTACAAGTTTGATATATAACCCTGGTAGATTTGCATTTGCCTTCTACTGGACAATTATATTTTGATCTACAACTACAGGAGAGTTTGATACCAAGTTTGTTGTTGGTCTCATAGAAATTCCTTAAAATTTGGTTATTGTGTGAGTTAATAATTTTATAAAGGTTGTTGTTACAAGAGTAGCTAATCTTAATCGTTTTCTTATTGAAGATCTTTCTTAGAGGGTTATTTTTTTGAAAAAGCTTATTTATTAACTTTAGAAAATACTTTTCTCTACATTCTTTACCATCTCTATAACAGATTCTGTTACTGAGCCTATATTTATTGATGATTAAAATTTAACTGAAGTTTTTATTTCCTGAGCAGGGAAAAACAACAAGTTGTACATAGCTTTTCAATGATATTGGTTTATATTGGACTCTCCAGTCGATTCTTAGAACCAAACAACCAGTACTATGCACACATATGATTTGATTATAATTGTAAAGGCTTGTGTAGAACCAACCACTTTTTGAGATAGGCCCCGTCAGATGGAAACTGAAAAGAGCCAACTGGGAGGGTTTCAAAAATAAATGTAAACAATTACTGATACAGTCAAAGGACACAGACAACTCGATAGAATACTTTACCAAAACATTAATAACCATTGCCTCAGAAAATATACCAAAAAAAGCAAAATAATTATAAAAAACTAAACCCTGGTTTGACAAAACTGCCAAAAAAGCAGTCAGAAACCGGGAAGCAGCATTAAAAAATTCAAAAAGGAACCCACAACCCAAAATTTGATTGAAATGAAAAAACTCAAAGTAGTAGCACGGAAAATTGTTAAAGAAGCCAAAAGGGAATGTTGGAAAAAATATGTAAACAGCCTAAATACACATTCCAAAACCAAGACAATATGGGAAATGATGAGAAAAATAGCTGGAAAAAATCAAATATACCCAATAATACATCTTAAAAAGGACAACACTAAAGCAACTAGCAAAAAAGAGATAGCAAACCTACTGGCAGAGACATTTGCAGAAAACTCTAAAATGAGTAAAAATCAAAACCTACAAAAGTGTAAACAAAAAGATATAAATAACCAACTAAATTTTTCGTCTAAAAATACAGAAGCCTACAACAATCTATTCACCAAAGCAGAACTAATAGAAGCCATAAAAAAATCCCATAATACAGCAGTAGGCCCAGACCAAATCCACTATGAATTTATTAAACAACTACCACAAGAATCGCTGAAATACCTTTTGAATATTTTTAACAATATTTGGACTACTGGTAAATTTCCCAAAATATGGAGAGAATCGGTAATTATTCCCATACACAAAGAAGGAAAAGAGGGAAACAATCCACAAAGTTACTGACCAATAGCATTAACAAGCTGTCTATGTAAGACAATGGAGCAAATGGTCAACGCCAGATTGAGTTGGTTTCTAGAAGAAGGAAAACACATATCAAAATATCAATGTGGATATAATAAAGGAAGAAGTACAATAGATCACATAATAAGACTAGAAACAGCCATAAGAGAGGCCAATTTAAACAAACAACATCTAATAGCCATATTCTTTGATATAGAAAAAGCATTTGATCAAACCTGGAAACATGGTATAATGAAAGATCTGTATAAACTAGGATTAAGAGGTCGACTACCAAACTTTGTAAAAGGATTTTTAACAGATAGACTCTTCCAAGTACAAATAGATGCTACACGTTCTGATTATCAAAAAGCAAGAAGAGGGAGTACCACAGGGAAGTGTACTCTCCCTACACTTTTCAAAATAAAATAAATGATATAATAAAAACATCAAATCAGGAATACACTGTAGCCTTTATGTTGATGATTTTACAATATATTACAGATCGAGAAACCTCAACACAGCAGAAAGACAACTTCAACAATGCTTACATCAAATAAACAAATGGACACTCGAAAACGGTTTTAAAATATCAAAACAAAAAACAAAATCTGTACACTTCTGCCAAATGAAAAAAAATTACACAATAACCCAACTCTAAAACTAGGAAATGAAGAAATACCAGTAGTTCAGCAATATAAATTTCTAGGAATGATCTTTGACAATAAACTGACCTTCAGACCACATATCAATTACCTAAAAACAAAATGTTTTAAAGCTCTCCAACTACTGCGAACAGTAGCCCATACAGAATGGGGAGCTAGCAAAGAAACCCTTCTTAAACTTTATAGAACGTTGATCCGCTCCAAACTGGACTATGGCAGCATGGTCTACCAATCAACTAGAAAGTCTTATCTAAAAACAATAAACACAATACACCATGAAGGCCTTCAGATAGCTCTAGGAGCCTATCCCACCTCACCTATAGAGAGTCTACATGTAGAGGCAAATGAACCCCCATTACAACTAAGAATGGAGAAACTAGCAACTCAATACTATCTAAAACTCTCTTCCTGTCCTTCTAACCCAACACACAACTGTGTACTTACACCAAATCACAAAGAGAAATTTAATCTTAACACAAATAAAATCAAAACTTTGGGACTCCGAATGGAAGGAATCATCCAAGAAAATAATATACAGTCTAATCAAATACTTAAAACCAACCAATCAAACATACCACCATGGATAATCAAAAATCCAAACATAATATTAAGTTCAAACAAATTATCAAAATCAAAAACACACCCCACAACATACATTGAAAAATTTTCAAAAATAAAAGAAAAATATTAAAAATATGAAAGTATTTACACGGACGGCTCAAAAGATGAAGAAAAAACAGGCAGCGCAGCAATAACAAAAAAAACAATTATCAAAAAACGCTTGCCAAATGAAGCATCAATTTTCAGTGCAGAAGCCTACGCAATAAAACTAGCACTAAATTTCATATCAAAAAACAAAGGAGAAAACTATATTATTTTCTCAGATTCATTATCTGTATTAACATCCCTAAAAGGGAAAAGACTGGAAAATCCATTAATACAAAGTCTTCTATATAAACTACATTCAATGGAAAAAAGCAAAAATATCATCTTCTGCTGGATTCCTAGCCATGTTGGCATCCAAGGAGGAGATAAGGCAGATACTGCTGCTAAATCTTCTTTAAAAATGACAATTGATGAAAATCTTCAAATTCCATATACAGACTTAAAATCTAAAATAAATAAATACATAAGAAACAAATGGCAAAATTCAAGGAAAAACCAAACCGGAAATAAACTATTTCAAATTAAACCTAAAATAGGAAAATGGGGAAATAATCTTGGAAATACTCGGAAAAAACAAGTCATCATAACCAGAACACATATAGGACACACATATTTAACCCATTCTTTATATATTAAAAAGACAAATCCACCAAAATGTAGATGAAAGCCTAATCACAATAAAACATATTCTATTGGAATGCAAAATCATAACTAGAATAAGACAAAAATATCTCAATGGAAAAGATTTAAAAGAAATTTTCAAAAATACAGACACAGAAAAAATATACAGTTTTCTCAAGGAAATAAAGATCCTCAATAAAATATAACCCTTTCAAATAGTGCATATGTATGTGTATATGTGTTTATAAACATATGTATGCATGTATGAATGTAAATATTAAAATACGCAATCAAAAACAGTCACAAGAAAAAGCAATCCCAAAAAATACAGATTATGAAACCGAACAGCCTTTCAACTTTTTATACAAAACCATCTTAAATTCATAAATTAATAAGGCTTTGGCATAAATTGACCCAAATAAGAGTTGACATGCCGTTAAATCCAACATCCATCCAACCACTTTTTGGAAGATCCGAATGCAGAGAACTAGTGCACATAGTGTGTCACAAGGTTCCCAAACGACTCTTGTCAAGTTTTGAATTTAGTGTTGTCCTTTTCATAGACTGGTTGCCACCTAAGACTATAGGACTCAGTCTGTCCAGCTATTTACCCAGAGCTGGGGGGAAAGAAGAGATGGATTGAAACCTTTTCTAAGAGAATTTGCATGTAAGTGAATGTAATGAGCTCAACTTGAATTTGAACTCGGCTCTCTGATTTCTGAATCTGTGCTACTAGAACATTCACCGCATCTCCATATTGATTTATTACATATATAATATACCTCCTTGTCTCTAATGTAACTAATGTTAATTCTTCTATCACAAGTTACCCCATTATACGTTAATTAATTAGAAATATTAATTTTAGTGGAATGAAAAACATCAATGTTAAAATCCCAATGCAGCAGTTTATTTGCTAAAAACTGTTATTTTGATCAAGAGTTTTCTACATTGCATTTTCCATAACAAGAGGGAATACTGGGTACTCTAAACAATCTCCTGCAATCCAAAATATGTTTTGACTTTAAATGATCCACAAAAGGTTGATAAACTGTAAAAAAAAATAAAATAAAAAAAATCAATCCATTCTTAACCAGAGCATTAGTATAACAGATCTGTGCAGAGATAATGTCAAAAGAGGAAAAGGAATGTTTCTTGCAAAGAATATCTTCATTTCAGCAATTAATTTATACCTCCTTCCTTTCATACTTTCTTTCTTTGATTTCACATCTGACAATATTTCAATTTTACTGTAAACTTTATTTTAGGGTACATGCACTAAAATAACATCTGTATGACACAATAGCTTCCCCTATATGACTGCCTGAACAAACACAAAATCACGTGGGACCCTAAATGATGTTATTAGAGTCAGAAATATTTTTTTTTTTTAAATGGCTTACAGATTGTCTTTAAAGTCTTGGGCTCAAAGTGGCAACCCACTTGAGTGAAGTGGAAGTAAAAATGGGGTTAAGTGGTACTTAGTCGGAAACCAGATGTTTCCAGTTGCAGCCTTACATAAGTAGAGTCCCTATTAGGGCTAACCAGAGAGAGAAGCCTTCCGTCAACCCAGTCAGTAGCAGTCGCTCGGCTGAAGTAAGAAGAGTTAAAAATGACTTATGTAGCATTTATGTCCTACCAGAGAGAACACTAGGCTCACCAGGGAGCCTAATTGGAATAAATACCGAATTGTCGATTCAATTTGTGTTTTCATTTCTTTGTTGATTTCATTGTCCATTTCTTGTGAAGTACTGAGTCTTTTCCTGTCTTTGTACACACTGTGCAAGTCAAGTAGCAAAACACAACATGGGGGAATGATTTGTTTAGAGTGGATACAGTGAAAGACAGAGGGGTCCTGTTGTATGTGTCTGCACTTTGTTTTTTTTTTTTTGTTTTTTTACAATAATGTTCACTCTGTACAAGGTCCAAGAGACACTTGAGGCAAAAGGATGCAGAGTAAGAGGTACAATTTGTGGGGAAGATAATGGCTAACCCTAGACTTAAACAGATTAAAATTGTAGTGATCAGAGAAGCATCCTCTTGGGAATTGGTTCCGCAAAGCAGCAGTTAGTGAGAAGAAACTGTTTGAGTGGAACTTACATCTCACTAATGGAATATGAAGGGAATGAAGGTGGTTCACTAAAATGTGAATGGCTTGGCAGGTTTTAGCCATGAAGGTTAGAACTGGTGGAGCTAAGGAATGTAGTTGTCTGAAAACTTTTCATGGAAATACTGATAGAACAGTTACTGTATATACTCGCGGATAGGTTGCCCCCACTACTTTATGGATTAGTAATTGATGATTTACTGTTGACTTGCAGATAGGTCGCACTATAATCTGGGGAGTTACATAGCCCTTTTTAAACGTAAGAATTATCATTATTATTATATATTACAATTATTAATACACTTTTACAGTTAAAATACATTTCGTCACTCATCATGTAAACAAAAGCAAGTAACTGTTGTACTGGTATTTTTATACTTACCACATATTATTTTTATATTGAGTCAACACGACAAAAAAAAAAAAGAAATAACTACAGAAGAAAATGTTATGTTACATTAAGAAAAAAGTGTTTATCTCTTTATATATCAAGTTACAGTTTTAAAATTCATTCAGAACTGAATGCCAAGAATTCTTTTTCACTATCATCGCCGTCAAACATCATTCTTGTTTGTTCATCAGTTAATAAGTTTTCATCATTGTCCATTTCGTAGTAGTTGTTCAACTCATCATCACTTGTGATATAACTATCTTCCTCTTTGTTTGAAGCAATCATATCCTCATTCTTGGCCTTTTCCGTGCTTGAAGCATCTAAATCCTCATATAATATCTCATCTTCAGTTCCATCCATGACATATGAGATGCCACATTTTTTGAAGGACTTAATAATCGTTTCTTCAGGATTTCTCAGAAATCATGATGATAAGGTAGTGTTGTTTTACATTTATGTCAAGCAGCTAGGTCGCACCCCTAATATTTTGCGAAATTTTTGGTAAAAAAAGTGCGATTTCTGCGAGTTTTAAAAAAAATCCATTGCTTAAATGACTTTGTTTTTGATATGAAAATCTAAGCTATTAGTGTTATATCCATTGCCACCCAATGAATTACATTATTATACATTCCAGGTGAAATAATTTTTTAACATTTTATCATATTAACTGATTTTGTATAATTGTAAAAAGAAAATAAAAAAACCCATTAAATATGCTTTTGTATATTTTCTGTTTATAATTAGACTTTGTTTTTCAGGGTTCAGTATGGAGCCGTTTGGGAAGCAATGTCACCATGGTGGAGTTTTTGGGAAATATTGGCGGTATGGGTATTGATATGGAAATGGCCAAAACCATGCAACGGATTTTACAAAAACAAGGTCTCAAATTCAAGCTTAATACAAAGGTGACAAATGCTGTCGAGAATGCTGATGGGACAGTGACAGTTTCTGTTGAGGCAGCCAAAGGGGGTAAAGCTGAACAAGTAAGAAATTTTATTTTTTGTTTAAATAAAAATCTGTATTTCTGTATGCCTGTGGAATGAGTATCGATGGTTAAATGCCAAATAAATGACAGAACTGTCCAACAGAATTGACAAAGTTAGCAATAACAAGAAAAAGAAAAAAACAGGGCAAAAACATAATATAAAGCAAGCAAACAATATATTCAAGGCAAAGCAATAGTAATATGGTAAAAAGTTCACAAACTAAGAATTGGGGTTGATGCATAAGTGCAAGTTTGGACAAACGCACATAGCATTCTGACTTCAAGACAAGACGGACCGGGACTGAGTCAGATGAAACCGAGAGCCGGCCTACTTTATTGGCTAGGAAAAAATCCCAGCATGCATTTGTGTGTTTCTGCTTATAAATTAGGGAGGGGCAAGCGTTTTACAGTCATTCCCTATCAGGATAGGAACCAAAATTGCTTGTATTGATTGCCAATGAATTTGAGTATGCCATTTATGATCCTTGTAAAAATAGGCTTCACACAAATATATCACTCACTGGTTTTATTGTCTTTCCTTTGTTGGTTTCAATTTTGAGTAATAACTGATAAAAATTCTCCGACACAAATTTATAGACAAATCCTACAGATGTATGCTGGGATTTTTTTCCTAACCAATAAAAATGGACAATTTTCAGTTTTACCCACACATTTTTTATTTCTTGTCTTGATTTCAGAAGGTTCTACTCACTTGACTGTATCCCTTTTGTGTGTGAACATGATTTCTGTTTTGTGAACTTTTTACTTTACTTTAGTTGCTTTCCATTGCATTATCTCGTCTCGTATTATTTTACTGTTCTTCTTATTGCTTTTGAGAATTTTGTCAATTCCACTTAACCATGTCTGCTTCTTCAACATTCTTGGGTTGGATGTTTTGGAATACTGTTTCACTGTGTTTCTCCGGAATGCATTCTCTAGTGTCTTGTCTTTTTTTAAAATTCAAGTTTTTGAGGTTGTAGGAATTTTTCTGGGTTATGTGTGTGTGCAGCAGTGAGAGTGGAATGAACAAATCCCAGGGCTCAAAATAACTGTTCAACATCTTTTATTTCTGATTGAAATAGAGTGCAAAGAGTAGTATTTTGTGGGGAAAAGTGGGGTTTCCCAGTTAATAAAATTCTTGTGTAGATGTTTTATAGAGAGAGATTTCTCTGTTTGTTCCCACGGGAAGTACAAGAAATCTGAGTGAAACTGCTAGGACTGGTATGAATCTTCTGCAGCAAGAGTTGTGTGTAGCCTTTCCTTTGGGTAGGTATCTTTAAAGGAGATTTCTTTGCCTGTTCCCACAAAGAACGAGAAATCTGAAGTCTAGCTACTAGGATAGGACCATGTATCTTCTGCAGCAAAGGTTGTGAACAGCACTTTAAGCTGGTCCTGAAGCTGGAGGCTGCTGAAAGGGAACAGTGGAAAAGAGGCTGAATAGGGCTTAGTCAAGGCTTTTATGACTTCTGGGACTTCTGGTTGTACCTGATTGATTGCTTCTGTTGCTGCTACTGCTGAATCCAGCAAAGTAAGGAATCACCCATAATAGGTAACAAATTAGATAGTTTGTATTAGGTCTTTATTATTGATGCCTTTTTCAAGTTAATTTGGGTTTTTTTATTCACTCATTCTTTGCCATGACTTCCTTCAATGCTCAGCTCATTACACTGTTTTAATAATGAATTGTTTCATTGTACATATCCGAACCATTGTAGTCTTGGGGTGATCAGTAGCAAATCCAGAGGAGGGATGTTCAGATGTTTGTATAATGACACCAGGTTAATTCTGTTGGCAAGCTTGACACTGTGTATTCCCCTGATCAGAGAATTATTTTGAACTATATGTAATTTGTACTCAGCCCAAGATTCATCAGCCATAAAACACAAATATAGGGGTTGTTAACATTGTCTCCAGTGTCTCATGTGACAGTTTGTCAATATGAGCAACAGTTCTATAAACTCCTTCCAGGTAGCTCTAGCAGTTTTTGTAGGCATAGCAAGTGAGTAAAAAGCTGAACAAGAAATGTTATCATTTTTCATTATTTAAAATAAAAATCTGTGTATTTCAATATGCATGTATTGATTTCAGTGAATTTTGCTGATCTTTAAGTTGATTTGAAAAGTTTCCTGTGCCCTCTTTTGCATAATCTTGGAGAAATCTTGAAATTTTCTCTGAAATTGTTCATCTCTTTATTGTTTCTGTCAACTTTAGTAAGCCATTTACAATCCTTGTAAAAATGGATTTCATACAAACATAGGGGAATGGAAATTGGCCAGTGTTTAAACATTTCTTTCATTTCTTGTTTAAGGCAGAAGAAAGTAATTTTTTTAACTTGTAATAATGAATTAATAAATTCATTATTACAAGTTAAAAAAAATTACTTTCTCATAATAATGAGACTAAAATGAAGAAATTTATAGCTGGATCTAGAGGAAAAAAGGCTTTTCTAGGTTTGCTAGCATTCAAAAGGAAAACTTTATTACAAGCAGCTGGGCAAACTGTTACTATGTAATATTACAGTAAGCAAATGGTTTGTTCGAATGATTGTTTGATAGATTTTTTTTTAAGGCATGGAATTTAGCCAGTAATTCTTGCTGCAGAACAACACCTGCCTTATTGCAACTCTGATGCAGCAAATGTTCATTGACTGTGATTGGGAGGGGTTCTTCTGCATGTGGTGTATTCTTTTGTTATTTAGACTATCACTTATTTTGATTCATGCTGCATTCCTTTTCTTGTTCACAGTTTCAAGATTTTGAAAGAAATAATTCTTTGACTCAAAAGGACAGGAGTATTTTTTTATGATGAAACAGGATTTAGTTGCAAGGCCAGAGAAAAGACATTGATGGCTGAATAATGATGCTATAAATCTACATAAATAAATGAATTAAAAAAAAAAAATAACTGCAAAGTTAATACTTAACTAATCAACCTGATATTAATAAATACAGATTCTGTAAGTTCCAGATAATTTTTTCTAAAAATATTAAAAATGTTTTAGTTTAAAACACAAAAATGGCCGCACTGAAAATCAACAACGATTAAATTGTTTAAAATAAGCAAAAATATGTAGTGATATGTAAATGACTACCTAGTATGAGGATGAGCCCAAAATGTGATTTGCAGGTTGGGAACACTAGAATCAATCAAACGCAGAAGTTTAAATATCTGGGATATATTTGACAGAGGATGGTAAGTGTGACACTGAGATCCATAGATGTATTGGGATGGTCAAGGACACATTCCAAAAGCTGGGCAGGATTTCTTTGGTAACAAAGAAAAGAATACTGAGCTGTCTATATTTCTCAGATGAAGTATTATGTACACTATTTACATTATTCGGACTATTGTCCTCATCTTTGTCGCCATATTTTTTTACAACTTTTTGGTCGTTGTATGCTCCGGCCTTCTTCAGGTGGTTGGAATGTCAAACCAAACCCTTTATTTCGCTCGTAGACTGTTCTAATTCCACATATCTAATGGATGTCAGTTCTCCACTGCCTTAACCAGGTATTGAACTCACATTCTTTTTGGGTCCTGTCACTAGATCTAAGTAACGCCTTTATCCACTATGCCATGTGTCCTTGAGGACATCTGTGTATGAATTTTTGGGTATTATAAACCTAATGTCTTCAGCAATCATTTTTTCCCAGTGCTCATATTGTAATTTTTTGCTGTTATCATTTCATGTTTTTACCAGAACTCATATTGCAATTTTTGTTGTTATTATTGGCACTCCTTATTACTGGTTCCCATATTGTATTCATTTCTATGCTTGGTTGGCTCAGGAGATTTTTGGCCTAGCATATGTGCTGATTCCTTAAGTTTATGAATTTTCTAATGGTGTTCTTTGTCTATGATCTCAACCTGATACCACAGGGGGTGGCTGCGGAAAGAAATATAAAGGGAAGATAGGCTGCCCCCTTAAGGTAAGGCTTCAAGAACGCCAGAAAGCTGTAACATGAGGGGAAGTGGAAAAATCAGGCGTGGTTGACCACATATGGAGAGAAAAGTCTAAGTCAAGTCTTTGTAATTTGATATTTTAAACTGGATGCTAAATCCCTTAATCTTTAAGTAGGAGTAGATAATCCTCTCCATTTTGCATTTAAATCTGTTGTTATCAGCTTCTCTAAAAAAAATAAATAGCAGATTCTTCATAAATCCCTTTAAATGAAAACTGTACCACTTAAATGTGGTAATGTCTTCAAAATAAAGGCTGACTCCAGGAAACTTCTTTGTCTTCCGATTTTCAAAATTTCATGACTAATTTTAACTTGTAGTTATTCTACAAGTGGGCCAGGAAGTAAAAGAGTTTGAGAAACACTGCTCTAATATGTAACTTACCAAAAAGTATCAACCTATTTTTCTAAATTTCTACCTTCTACACTTGATTTTTGTTCCTGAATATCCTATTTTACCAGATATTAAGCCTTTTCTGTGATCTGATAGCATTTGTACATTTTGTATAGAAAATAATCAAGTCTATTTCTAGCTACTAATTGAACAAGGCCACATTCAAGGAGTACTTTGTGATGAACATTTCTCAATATCAATGGCCTAAGTTAATAGCTTACTAAACATTGTCTTTAGAAACTACATACTTTGGAGGCCACTGCTATATATTGTCATCCCCTTCTAATTTATAATTACTTGGTGATACTAATTATCGTTAAGTATGATTATCATTATTAAAGTATCAATATTGGTATACTACTATAGTTGCATACAAGTCAAGGGTTTTTTCCCTGCCTATTGTTTTTATTTTTTTAAGAAAACTTAAAAAAAAAATTGCCTAATTAATATTTAATAGATCCAAGTTATCTCCCTTGGACAAACTTTCATTAATTTATACATGGTGTGGCAGAAATGCCTCCCGGAAATAATTCCTACATAATGGTAATATATTAGTGGCAATGTTGTCTTCATCTAGCTAAGGTCTTTTCATTATGTGGGAGGTATATATGGGAGATATTTCTGCCATACTCTATACTTGATTAAAAATTCCATTGAACTTTAAATTTCTTTATTCTCAGTTAAAACTGTGACGAAAGACATGACTTACCTCAGAATTCGAAACGGTTGTGAACGTGTCTTGTCTGCAAAATGATGACAAAAAGAAATATGGCTGCTATTGAAGACGCAATTTATGCGTGCCGATCTCGTCCAAAGCAAGACTATATTTGCACACATGCAAATTTTGGCCATATTAGAATAGCATAAAAAACTGGGTGCCAGCAGTATGAGGGGATCGGGAGTCGTTTGGCAGACTGCGTGCAATAGAGCTGGATGTACGAATTGACAGACGGACAAAGAGGAAGTCGAAGTAGGCGCGGCTGAGTTGGTGTCTATTTCACAACTGCCCAGTGTAACAGCTGAGAAAGAGGCATGCAATCCATTTCCTTGAAGCAACCGAAGAAGAAAGAACAGCTGGCCTGTCAGCAAGCACTGAACTTTTTGACCCCCCCCCCTCATCACCATTTTATTTTCTCTACAAAAACATTTTAACAGTATTGCACTATCAAAAACTGTCAAAATGTGACTTTTTTGTTGCATTACAAATACAAAAGTACAGAAATTGAATTATATATCTCTCTGGCAAATTGTTTCTCTCTTTATTTTTGTTAGAAGTAACAAGCTTTTTTGTAAACATTTTTATCTTTGCAATATGGCATCATTTAAAGATTAACCTTATTATACTTCCAAGAGAATTCATTTATTGCCTTTTTTATTTTACAGATGAATTGTAATGTCCTTTTAGTATGCATTGGTCGTCGCCCTTACACCAAGAATTTGGGATTAGAAGCAATGAACATTCAACTTGACAACAGAGGTCGTATCCCAGTCAACAGCCGATTCCAAACTTCTGTACCAAAGTAAATACTTTGTCTTTTCCATTTTTCTTTCCTTTTAGAATATTTGCTTCACTTCCAAATAGTTAATGCATATTATTACTTTGAATTGATAAGTACAAGTAACATGGATTTAGATTGTCTATTGTATATTTTTGCTATTTTGACTCTTTGTTTACTTATATAATTGGGTATACTGGGCTCTCTAGCTTTGGGTAGCAGTCAGTCTATGAGAAGGAAGAGTCTATACCGTGGAGAAGGCCACAGGAAACCACTCCACTGTCTTTCCTAGGAATGCATTGCAATTCAGATGATAAAGAAAAGAAACTTATGGAGAGTCATAATTGCCTCTGTCCTAAAGCGACATAGATTTAAAAAAAAGTTTCCACTTGAATCATTGGGCTCTTAAAGATTTATGTCTCTTATATTTCTAATATTACTATTATTATTATTGTTAATATTGATTTTTATAGATGTTATGAAGACAATATTTCAGCCATCTTCAGTTATCGAATTGGCTGGAGAAATATCTTGTAAACTGATTATAGTTTAGATATAATTTATACAGCTATCAAAGTATATTGACAATTCCTCATCTCAGAATCAAGGACAAAATTATCTAAATGTGATATGAGTCTACTCTAATGAGCAAATGATAAAACCATCTGATATGGGATTTAAAAAGGCTCCAAAAATACACATGTCCTCTGAGATGATGGTGTAGTGCATGTAAATGTTGGTTACTGTCACCTCGTGCTTGTGAGTTCAATCCCTGATTCAGATAGTGAAATCTATGTATGGGCAAAAAACAGCCTCTCAAGGACAAAAAAAATAACACCACCAGCTCAAGCAAGATATGAACCAATAATGTACAACTGAAAATTACTAAATGGTTACTTGGCTGAAACATTGTCTATAATAAACATCTGTAACAAATCTGCACAAAGTGTGGCCTGCAAAACTTCTACCCAGTGTTGGTTCATTAGAGTTTTTAAAAATAGTAAATTTTTTCTGTTCATTAGAATAAATTTGGTGACGGATGGCATACAAAAAATTCAGTTTTGTGGAAGAATGACTTTATTCAAACAATATTTTACTGTCTTTGTATCTAATACTTTTAATTCTTTGTAGAATTTTCTTGTTCTCTCCCTCTCTCTCTATATATATATATATATATATATATACGCGCACAAACACACTGTGCGATGTATAAATTGCCATCTAAATTACGCAAAAATGAAAATAATACTGACATCTCATTTTAACAGATATATTTACTGAAATTACACAAAAATATCTTTAAGTACTAAAGAATAAATTTATTCAATGAAATTGTCATCGGCTTCACCCACATCAGGGGTGTTAGGTGGGCAGATGTAAGGAGTGATGTGGTCACTGAAATTGTCTGACAGCCATGACTGGGTTCTCCTGCTTGTGTGGCATGGTGCAGAGTCCTGTTGTCAGATGCAGGGTCTTTCACCCAGGGCAGCACTAACTCCTCAAAGAACTTAATGCAGTCCTCCATGTTGAGTCAGAGGCCTTGTGGGAAGATGAATGAAGGCATAATGTCACCATCACTAGTGATCACTCCAGACATCATCATGTTGACTGGATATACCATCCAACCATTTCCAAATCCTCTGCACTGTCCTCAGATTGACACCCAAAACACTCTGAAATGTTTGTATGGAGCTTCTGGCAAAAATGCCAAGCAGTACAGCATGCTGTTTCCAAATTTCTGGCAGAGTGAATAGCATCATGGTCCTCTTTTTCTCTCAGATCAGTGCCCAACTGATTCTACTATTCTGTGCAGACAACAAAATCAAAAACAATGTGCATGGGTGAAATTAAAAAATATATAATAGCGACAATTTACCCCTCGCACCCTGCGTGCGTGCATATATATATATATATATATATATATCTCTAATATAGGATAATGACATAAAATTTTATATCAAGAACAATTTTGGTGAAAAGATATGATAAAGTGGGAAAATTTTTCATGTAATGCATTTCATCCTTTATGACTTCATTGGACCAAGTTTATGTTTACATTGATGCACATGAACAAGAGACACTGGAAATTTTTGTTGTTGCCAATGTAAAAAGGAACTTAGCCTGATGAAGTCTCAAGGACAAAACTCTGGATACAAAAACTTTTCATTCTGTCATATCTTTTCCATATATATATATATATCTTTCTTTTTTCTATATCACTCATTCAGTTTTGTGGAAGTATGACTTTATTTAACTGGTATTTCAGTCTTTGTATTTAATTAATCCTTTTAACTCTTCATAGAAAAAGAATTTTCTCACTATTCCTCTCTGTATATCTGTTTCTACCTTACTCATACTCTGTAATTTATATGATCAATGTGACCCTTTACAGTTTTTAATTGTACAGGCCTGCGATCTATAACGGTCGAAGATGAAAACAATTGTTAACAAAACAAAAAAAAAAAACAGACTCATTTTTCTCCAATTCAGTAGCATATATTGCAAAACTAATGTACATTTTTTTCTTCTCCTGTAGCATTTATGCAATTGGTGATGTAATCCAGGGTCCCATGTTGGCACACAAAGCAGAAGATGAAGGTGATTTTTCCATTAATTCCATTTTTGTTAAGACTAGAAAGTTGTATTGTTTCTTTTATTCAGTCATAGGTTTTTTACCACCTTAGTTTTGAATTCAGTTGTTGAAATAGTAAATATTCTCGGTATAATTAATTCTTAGGTGATGATTAAAATACCATTGGAATAAATTCTCTTATTTTTTTTTTTTTTTTTTAACTTTAAATTCAGGTAATTAGCTGAAAACTCTCTCTATAGGCAGGATTTTAAACTGTTTCCCGTGGAAGGTGTCACTGGAGCATTTGGTATAAATAAGAGATCATAAATTTGTACAATGTATTGAATCCTATCTTATTTGAAAATAACCACCATCTCCTGCCTATTGCCATGCTCTCTATCTTTACAAGAGTCAGATCAGACCAAAAATAGAGTATTGCTGCTGTATCCGTGCTGCTGCTGCTGCCCAGATTTCACTGTCTAGCCTTGGAGGTCAAAAGCAATTACATGGCCTTGTGGTTGATGAATTATTTTCCACCCTACAACCTCGTTCATACAGGTGAAAAACTGTTAGCCTTTTACCGTTTCTATCTACAAATGTTCAGATGAACTACAATCCTTTGGTTCACCAGTTCAGAACTTCACAGCTAGGAAATGCCAGGACATGTACACAATGTCATCTTTATTCCCTTCATATTCCTTTGGTGAGGAGGAAGTTCCACTGGGACACTGTCACTTTGTGGAATAGATGAGATGCTTACTTGACCACTACAATCTTACAATGTTATCTGTATCCTCATAATATGCACTTGCCTCCACCTTTTACGCTTATGCAACAACCTCTTTCAGCAACCCTCCATCTTGAGTGGCTCTTGGGCCTTGTATTGGGTGAACAATAAAGTATAAAAAATCCAGTTTAAATATTGGGAAGGGATTTCACAAGTACCCACAATTTTTGAAAATCTTTTTTTTTTTATATTTAAATATTTATTTTTTACTGAATTTTTATTGCTTCAATAAGCACAGGCATAATACCAAATTATGTTTAAATAAACATTATTGATAAGTTGAAATTTATGGCCCTCTGTATGTAACTATTTTTTTTTTTTTTTTTTTTTTTACTCAAATGACTGGAACAAAATAAGTAGAAAAATCTTTGACAAAAAGTCATGACTATCGTTTCTGACTTTTAATTTTAGTTTCATGTCTACTTAATAACTGCTAAACAGAGAGGTAAGGATTCAGTTGAGCTAACTATGTGGACATAAAGTAAGGGTTCATTTAACATTATACTTGCACTAGAATTTTTTGCATGAGACATTTAATATTTTTCCAGATGACATAGACTACGATTACTTATATCTAACCTTAATTTCATAATGCTGTAATATTAACTACTAGAATTTTATGGCAACATGCATGTATTTAGTATTGTTGAAGTTATTGTTAACATTTTTTGTTGAGATTTGTAAACTCTGTTTCATTCAACTTCATAAACCAATCAATGAAATTTAAATTGATTTGTTTGGAAAAATAATTTGATAAAAATCTTACTTTGCAGTTTAATAATTTCTTTAATTTAATTTTATAGGACTTCATATTAACAATATTTTTTTAAGAAAATGTTTTTTTTTTTTTTTTCCTTATTTCTTTTTAACGGTGAAGAATAAATTCTTAGGATTTCTTACTCTGGGCACATGTAAATATTTCTTTCTGGAGCCAAATTCCAACTTTTTGAAGCATTTGGCCTTGTGATTGTTTATAATTCTGACAAATGTAGGGTGAACTGGAATCTGGATTCTTGTATATATAAAATCTTAAAGAAAAGATATGCAAAAAATAATATGCATTTTTATTAAAAAAAAACTATTTGTTATTTTAATCATTAAAATGTTTTTAAAATAGTGGGAGTATTTTGTATGTTAAATAAAACATTTAATTTTTCCAAAAAAATGAATAAAAATTGTGCTAATTAAAACCAGCTGTACTTTGTACACCCTTACCTGTTTTCACTTCTTCCCAAAATTTGGTTTTTGATTGATCAATGTATGGTTATTTTAGAAGTTGTGATGGACGAACTAACAGAAGTCACAGAATTTTATATATAGATTGTAAATTGAATCAGTTGCTAAAAGCTTTAAAAAGTTTTTGAATTTTCAAAAGCTAAAAATTATTAATAATTAGTAATTGCAGAAAATCTGGTGGCCATAACTTTGTCTTTGAGTTTTGTGATGAAAGACATTTGGTAAATTATAGCAAGATTATAATCATCATAATAATTCTTGTTTCTGCTCTGAATGTGGTATTAATTGTCTATATATTATTTTTTCCTCCCCACCTCAGGTATTTTATGCGTGGAAGGCATTTGTGGAGGTGCTGTACATATCGATTACAACTGCGTACCTTCAGTTGTTTACACTCATCCAGAAGTTGCCTGGATTGGTAAAACAGAAGAAGCGCTCAAAGAAGAGGTGAGCCAATATTTATCATCCAATGTTTTTCATGAATGTCTCTCTGTCAATGATGACTTATATATTAAAAAGTTCTTTGCTCTCTGAAATAATGTTCTTTTAGATGAAAAATTAAACATGTTTAGGAGTTTTAAACATGAAGTCTTTTGCCATTAAACAACAATTATTTCCCTTCTTGACTGACATGAAATTATGCCTATCATAAGCAGATTCTGAGTATATTTTTCTTAATTCTTCACCACTGACAATCCCTTTCTACTGATTTAGTTCCAAAATTTTATTTAAACAATTGAACTCTTTTGTATTTTTGTTGCCATAACATTTTGGTTGATTCATTCTTCAGCCTTTAGACTTATGGCCATGTCATGTTGAAACACTGGTTCTCGTCTGATTACTGAAGTTAAATACCTAGATGGGTGACCACTTGGGAATACCAGGTGCTGTATGCTTGGATCTGTGGGTGATGTAATGGGCTTACAGCCATATCATGTTGAAACCCCCATTTCTCATATGATCACCAAAGTTAAGCAATGACAAGCCTTGTCACTACCTAGATGGGTGACCACTTGGGAATACCAGGTGCTGTATGCTTGGATCTGTGGGTGATGTAATGGGCTTACAGCCATATCATGTTGAAACCCCCATTTCTCATATGATCACCAAAGTTAAGCAATGACAAGCCTTGTCACTACCTAGATGGGTGACCACTTGGGAATACCAGGTGCTGTATGCTTGGATCTGTGGGTGATGTAATGGGCTTACAGCCATATCATGTTGAAACCCCATTTTCATATGATCACCAAAGTTAAGCAATGACAAGCCTTGTCACTACCTAGATGGGTGTCCCTTGGGGAATACCAGGTGCTGTATGCTTGGATCTGTGGGTGATGTAATGGGCTTACAGCCATATCATGTTGAAACCCCCATTTCTCATATCAAAGTTGCAATGACAAGCCTTGTCACTACCTAGATGGGTGTCCGCTTGGGTATACCAGGTGCTGTATGCTTGGATCTGTGGGTGATGTAATGAGCTTATAGCCATATCATGTTGAAACCCCCATTTCTCATATGATCACCAAAGTTAAGCAATGTCGTGCCTTGTTAGTACCTAGATACGTGACCGCTTGAGAATACCAGATACTGTAAGCTTGGATGTGCAGGTGGTATCATGAATAATGGCTTAGAATGAGAAGTTGAATTACAGAATTCAAATTCCAGTGGGGTTTGTTACATTCACTTATGCACAAATACCCTTGGAAAAAGTATGAATCCAATTCTTCTCCTCCCAACTATGGGTTAAATAGTAAGATTTGTCTTACCATCCCCCAAAAATTGTTAATACAATATTCACTTGCAAAAAACAAAATGTTATTCTTAAAATATATTTCAGCTTTAAATAATTGATAAAAGCTTGAGAAACTGGAGAAACAAATCAGTCAATCGATTCTTCAGCTTTTGTCAAGGATTCCAGTTTAATTACAATTATTCCTAGAATAATTGTAATATTTAATTGCTAATTATTCCTAAAACTTATTTTATTTTTTACTTCCCTACTGTTTGAAACATTAGCTTTAGTCATTTTCTGTATTAGCCAAATGGCGGTATGGTGGAGTAGTAGTAAAGTCAGTGGGCAATGTTAAGAAAAGATGAATCTTTGCTAATTTATACAGAGTTCAAATTTAATTAGCCACAAAATAAAACTTATTCATTTCCTATTTTTTAAGTGGAAATGAAATTGAACATATGAAAGGAAATATTCACTTAAAAATATATATATATATATATATATATATATATATATATATATATATTTTTTTTTTTCACTGGGGTGGAGTTAGGAGAAGGTATCTCACGGGGGTGGGGGCATCATAAGATATCTCACGAGGTAGGAGGGATTGTCAGATGATCTTTCATGCTGTTTGTGCTGGAGAGGGTGCCAAGATATCACACAAAAGATTGTAATCTAAAAAACAAATTTTTAGAAGTCCATATGAGAAGAAAAAATAAAATTTATACCTTTTTATAATATTATATAAGAATAAGCTAAATTTTATATGTCATCTTTGAGATTAAGAGAAAAACAATTTTGGTGTGTGATCTGATAAATATTAATGCTCTCAATTTTGAAGACATATCAAAAAATATGAACAAATCTTGAAAATTTGGTTTTTAAATGCATTTTGTGGAATTTTAGCAGTGGAAGAAGTAATAAAAGAAACATTGTCATGTAAAAATGTATTTAGTTGTTTCACCGTCTGTATTATTGTTTTTTTTTTTTTTTTTTTTTTTTTCCTCTCCATAGGGAGTTTCATACAACGTTGGTAGATTCCCACTGATGGCCAACAGCCGAGCAAAAGCTAACAATGAAACAGATGGGTTAGTGAAGATTCTTGGGCACAAGGAAACAGATCGTTTGTTAGGAGCACATATCATTGGCTCAGTGAGTACATATTTCAGATATTTAGCTATAAAAACAACTGAGATTTTTTTTAAAAAAAATATCACTTTGATAGAACTTTTTTGTAGCAGAGATCATTGTTTCTCAATGGTGTTAAAGGCCTATGTTCAAGCCGGCATGAAAAGATTGAATTTTAAATGCTAATTTTCAAGGTAAACATCCACTCCATTTGAAAGATTGCCACGACATTTTGTTTAACTTTCTGCTGTACTATTATGATGTCACAATCCTGTCTTCAGTCACCAGGCGAGTTCCTGGTTGATCCTTACCACTAGCCTTGGAGCTGATCGCTCTGATCCTCAATCCTACCCTGCCGTATGTTGTGTTTGTTTTAAATCGCAGGGTGGGCAAAGGCCGAGTTCTATACTTAACATCGCTGATCCGGTAACTTTGTCAGTATAACATCACAAGGAACAAAGTAAGAGACAGCTGCGTAACAACAACTTTATATCCAAAAGTTCATACAATGAATATTCTACTCACTAGATTAACAACATGCAGATTTTCAGCACCCCCCCAATGCCCTGTGACACTATGTCTAGCTACTCTTGGTAAACTGGTACAAGGCTGAAGTTTGATTTCTTCCATTCTGTGATTTTTTTGGGGGCCGACTTGGAACAAGGCTGGAGTATAAGTTCTTTCTGTAGAAGCTATGTGGGGTTTGTCAAAGCAAGTTTAGAACCAATTGGCACGTGTTTCTCTCGCAACCTGCAATTTGATCAGTATGGTTCCTTCTTCTCCTAATACCTCCGTTCTGTCTCTTGCTTCATTTGCCTGTATTTATTGACCCTTACACAAACCCAGTGCGGGGCATGAGGTGGTCGGAAAATTGATTGCCTGACCAAGGGGAGGGTGGTGGTGGCAGAATATAAATCCGCCCAACTCCTTCCATCTCGCATGGGTGTCTCTCACCATCACCGCCTGAACAGTGCAGGCAATTCCTCTGTCTTCTTTGAAATTCCACCTGGGCCTTTTACCTCTCTCTTTATCTTCTAATTAAACTTGTCCCCTGAGGCTAGGTGTGATCTGGCCCAAAGTGCTAAATTCAATTATCATCCAAAATTTTCATCAGCGGGGAATTCTTATCGTGTCCTTGTGTAGTTGGCTGCATATGGGATTCATTACTTGTTGCGTCTCCATGCCAACTTTTTGGTCAACAAGTGACAAATAGAGACAATTCCTCTTAATAAATTTTATCACATCTTAGGCAGACGAAGGAAAATTATAACTACAATGCCATTCCAGTTTTCCAAGTCCTATCAACTAACAGAATTTTATCTAGAGATTTGTTCTAAGCTGTTCTAAGTTGTGAAAATGTAATTTATTCTACTGCGCAGGCACTTAAGAAAAATATCATCACTTAAGATTAAGTTGACTATGAACAGATGGCTTCTACGCTAGTCGTTAACACCTGAACACTGAGGTGGGAAGAGAAAAGAAATCAAACATTTTCTCCTGCCATTCTCCTTGTTTTTCTTTTCAGTATGCTCTCAGTTTATTGAAAATGGTGTTTCTCTCATTTTTCTTGTTATCAGTATATTTTTAGTTTATTGAAAAAAAAAACATTGTTTTTCTTGTTTTCCAGTTTATTTTGAAAGCTTTTTCCCCAATTTACCAGCACCTTCTTAATAGTGTCACACTATGCTAAGATAGTTAAATATTAAAAAGGCTTGTAATTATTATTTTCTTTTTTTCAAAATAGTTCAATTTTTATTACTGTGTATTATTATTACTATTATTATAAGTGTATCCTAAATTGCTTTACTGGCCATATCACATTGAAACACTAGTTCTTGTGTAATCACAAGTTAAGCAACATCGAGCCTGGTCAGTACTTAGATGGGTGACCACTTGGGAATATCAGTTGCTGTAAGCGTAGATGTGCAAGTGTTGTAATGTAAAACAGCTTGGAATTGGAAAATGAATAGATGGATTTCAATTCCAGTTGGGTTTGTTATATTCACTTACATGCAAATACCCTAGGGAAAAGGTATGAGTCTGTCTCATCTTCCTCCCCTCAGCTATGGGTTAATTAGTAGGACTTGTATCACCAAATCATTATTTTCCCTCAAAAATTCCTACAATCTAAAAAAAAATATTTTCTGGCTTTAAATAACCTGTAAAAAGTTGATAAGCTGTAAAACACAAATCAATCAAACAAAAATTGCTTTACTGTTTAAAGTCTGTCTTGGAAGTATCTGTGTTCAAAAGAAATTCATTGATCATTTAAAAAAAAAAAGAAAAGATATTTGAATTAAATTAAATGTCAGTGTGTTTTTTGCTTTGCAATGAGTGAAACATGTCTTGCTTAATAGAAGAAATATTGGGGAACAGATGATTGCTGCTTGCAAAGAAATTAGAATAATGTTTCAAAAAAGTGAACTGCAAAGTGAGCAACATAGTTGCGAAAAAATGAACATTTATTTCCAGGATGGTGGTTCATTCAACTTCATACTAGAACGTCAAATTGGAGGGAAATTTAATAACTGTTGTGACAAGGGTAAAGATATTTGGTTTTTTTGTTTTTTTTAAAGGGAAACTTTAATGACTACATTAGATCATATAATTCAGCTCTTTCCTTTGCAGCTTATGGCTATATCATGTTGAAATACTGGTTCTCGTATGGTCACTGAAGTCAAGCAACATTGAGCTTAGTCTCTACCTAGATGGGTGACTGCTTAGGAATACCAGGTGCTGTAAGCTTGGATGCGTGGGTGGTGTAATGGGCTTGGAGCCATATCATGTTGAAACTTGTACGATCACCGAAGTTAAGCAATGTCAAGCCTTGTCAGTACCTAGATGGGTGACTGGTAATTCCAGATGCTGTAAGCTTGGATGTGTGATGTGGTTTACAGCCTTATTATGTTAAAACACTAGTTCCTGTACACTTGGATGTGTGGGTGGTGTAATGAATAATGGTTCAGAATTGGAAATTGGAAAGCCAAGTTCCAATTCCAGTTGGGTTTGTTATATTCATCTGCACACAAATATCCTTGGGGAAAGGTATGAATCCACCTATTCAACTGCCCATCTGTAGGTTAATTAGTCTGATTTGTATTAGTAAAATCATTATCTCCCAAAAATTCTTACAATCTAAAAATAATTTCTGGCTTTAAATAACATGTAAAAGGTTGCTAAGTCATAAAAAAACAAATCATTTAATCAAGTTTTTTCTTTTGCATCCACTTGTGCAAAGTCAACTCTACCATATGATGAGCAGCACCCTATTCATGTATAAGAAAATGGATTTTATTTTTGGACTGGAGCTAGGACTTACACTAAAGTCAAGCTATTTATCTAATTTTTTATAGAAGTAATGGATTGTTTATTTATTAATCAAACAATTTTTTTATCACTTTAAACGTTATTTGTATTGGTTACATATATTTGAGTAGATGCTCCATTTATTTATCAAACAGTATATTTTATTTATTTTCATCTACCGGCCTGAATATTCGAGAAATCTTATTTAAGAAAAAAATGCACTCTGTCAGGATTTGGACCTGTGCCCCCAAAACCCTGTAGGAGAAACTGATTAGATCCGACGTGCTTATACTGACTCGGACACAAAGAACTTTTGCTGATCAAGCAAGGTGAAATAGTGCCTTTAAACAAAATCCTTCTTGTCATAGATTCACAAAATTTCATATCTGCTCAGTTCTTTATCCAAACATAAACAAAGGAATTTCTAAAGAAGTAATGAACTTAATTTATTAATCCAGCAAATTTTATCACTTTAAATATTATTTTTAGTGAATACTTGTATTTAAGTAGATGTTTTATTTATTTATTAAATGGTATATTTATTTATTTTCATCTACCAGCCTGGATATTCAAGTAATCTTAAGTAAAATATACACTTTCCAGCAGGGTTCGAACCTACGTAACCCAGTATAGGAGAAACTGTCATTAAATGCAACATGCTTATATCAACTCAGCCACAAAGAACTTTTGCCAATCAAGCAAGGTTGAATAGTGCCTTTAAGCAAAATCTTTACCATCATAGATTATTGAAACATTCATATCTAAATGTAAACAAAACAATTTCTAAAGAAGGAATTGATTTTTATTTTATTAATCTGACAGATTCTATGACTTTAAATATTATTTTTTAGTGGATATTCATTGAAACTGTTGCTTACTAGTGGAAACCATTGTTAGTTCCAGTCTCAAATCCACAGAGCACATATTTTTCTTTAATAAGATTTCTTGAATATTCAGACCATCAGACGAAAATAAATATACTGTTTAACAAATAGACGGAGCATCTACTCAAATATAAATATTTATCTAATGACAAATGTGTCAGACGTGCCTCAGTTGAATGGAAATAAAGGGCAGCCTTATTGTTTTTATTTCAGTGTGCAGGAGAACTGATCAATGAAGCCGCTTTAGCAATGGAATATGGAGCATCTTGTGAAGACATTGCCAGAGTATGCCATGCCCATCCAGTAAGTTGATTTGTTTTCTCCCCTTTTACTTTCATTTAAACATTTTTATCTACTCTGATTTCATACTTTTTAATGATCTAGAGGTATTAATTATTTTAATTAACCTTTTAATGATGTAGTGGTATGTATATGTGTCCATATGTATACCTCGGTTGGTGTCAAGGTGCATAGTAAGCCCACCAGTAGTGTTAGACTCCTTAGCCTTCGTTAAAGTGTAGGCTCTTTGCTATGGAACCTAGACTTTATGAATTTAAATGCAGTACTAGACTGATGGCAAGGTCTCACCAGTTTACAGTTGAGTTGGTTAGATGTATCCGTAAATTCTATGCAAACAGTTTATTTACTAACACTTCTCGCTTGTGGAACTCTCTTCCGGCTCCATGGTTTCCAATCAGCTTTAATCTTTAAAAATTAAGTGCAATGCCAATCATTATCTGCTGTCCTGATTACTCTTCTCTTGTCCTTGTTCCTGAGTAATGTTTCCATTTTCTAATACTTCTACACCCAGTAACCCCTAGCGGCTTTACTGTCTTGCTTGGGGTGAACATGATTAAAAAAAAAAAAAAAATAGAAGGAAAACTCTGATGTAACACGTGTGGCATGAAAGCATCCAATGAAGTTGAATCATTCTTCTTTTGGGTTCATGCTGTTCTTGTTCAGAGAGTTGGATTGACCAAGTGCAACGTTTTTCTTCAATTTAAAAATGTCATGCACTGGCATTGCTTGATATTATAAAATTTTTACTGAAAAAGGCAATCATTATCAATAAAAGCTTGTGCCAGAGGGTTTAAAAATTTGTCTGGTTTAAAGAACCATATTTATTTGAAGTACAACCAAGTCTTGTAATATTTATATTTACATGCAATCTTTTGTCCTCATCTTTCTTGCTAACACAACATTTTGGCCATTGTTACCCCCTCCCCCGCTCTTGTCCTTCATCAGGTGATTGTTGATCCTGGTAACAATCAAGGAATTTCAAACTGAACTCTATATTTAATCTAAGTATTGGACTCAGAGTTGCTATATCACCAAATCCATAAACCAACACTTTAACTAGACTCTTGTCTCATGGGACAATTCTGAGTGGAGAACTTGGAGCCTTAAACCTAACCTACCTGCTGATAAGTAATGCTGTAATCACGCTTGACTTCACTTAACCAAAGCTGTTATGATGATTGTTGAAACCTTACACTTTCTTCACTTTCTTTCTTTATTAACAGCCACCATATCATGTTTATTTCTATGCTAGGCCTGCTAAGGAGATCCTCATACATGATATCTTGTATTGGTCATAGTCAACAACAAGGTGGCAGCCATAATTTTCATCTAAATCTTCCATTCTTGCCTTGTCCCACCAACTCAAACCTTCATAGCTCAGATGACCTGCCATGCCATCCCCATTTCTTTCATATTCCTTTTGGTAAAGAGTAAGCTTCACCCAGACAGCTTCTTCCCCAGAATTGTTGTTTTGTGAAACAGACTCCTGAGAGGATGCTTCTCTGACCACTACAATCTTGGTCTCTTCATGTCTTGCATCAACTGATATCTGTTTATATATTTTCATAATATGCACTTCTTGCAACCTCCTTCCCAATTACAACAATCCTGACATTACAATGATCTCACTCATTAACCACCTACCTTGAGTGGCTCTTGGGCCTTTTATTGAGTGAACTAAAGTGTTAAAATTTTTGAAATGAAGAACTAACATTTTAAGCCTTTCTATTCAACCATGATGAATGTACTAGTCTCAGAATGACCAAGAAGCTTCGGGTTCATTTCCAGAATAATTTTGATAGCTGGCCAGGTTTTGGGAAATGAGTTTTGCCAAGTATTTTTCAGTGCTGCTTTGTATGAGTGTGTTTTATTATATATAGATACACACACACACACACACACATCATATTTTCTTGTGTATAATATGACCCCATGTTTCTGAAGCTAAAAACAGGGAATAAAATTTCATCATTGTGTATAATATGACCCCATTGTACAGCCATCCCAATGTGAATTCTTCTTGAAAAGTTGTACCATATTATTCATTAAAATCTCAATGTTGTATATATATTTCAATAAAATACTTAATTTTTCACAATATTAAAGAAAAGAAATAGATTGGATTTTTTGTCATTGTGTGTTACTTCTTCCAATTTCTGTTTCAAAACTTATTTTCAAGGAAAAGTGCTAATTAGATATACTCTGGTAATACATTTTAAAGTGTTAATTAATCTGTCAAGTTTTCTGTTTGCTATGGTTTTACTATATTTTTATATATGAATAAACTATGAAAATCAGAATATATTGTTCTCTATTAAGAACAAAGAGACAACTTTATATTAAACTTTAAAATCAAAAAGCAAAACTGTTCTAATCTTAAACATGTGTCGACAAATGAAGGAATATGAAACAAAAACCTCACAGCATGGGCATTATCACTTCCATTTTTCAAGCAGAAAACATTTGATAAATTACATAACTTATACAATAGTTAGCATTTTGTCGTAACATTAATATTATCAAAACATGACAGCTTGTGTATTCCCTTCATTCATGTTTTTTTTTTTTTTGTAATTAATTTTGGTGAATTTCCTGTCTTTGAGATAAAAGACGATAAATTATGCTGATTCTCAAAGAACAAATATTGATGACATATAAAAAACCTTTTGTAAACAATTATCAACACCTGCCTATTTTGTGTTTTATTATCTATTATGCTGGGTGTATTTCCTGTTTTAAATGAGATTTTTTTTTAACCTGAGTAAAAAATTTTGAAAACATGTACTTCTGTATAATATGATCCCCTCTTTTTTTGTGTCTTGTATTATACACATGAAGTATGTTAGCATAGCAAACAATGGTTCCTTGTCAGAATAATGTTGATAGATGACCAGATTTTGGGAAGTGGGCCTGGCCAAGAATTTTTAGGGCACTTTTTGTGTGTGGATTTATATATATATATATATATATATATATATATATATATATATATATATATATATATATATATATAATAATGGACTCTCCTATCGGTTTTGACGTATGAGTATCTGGCAGCTTAGTTGATTCAATTATGAAAGTTTGTGCGATAATCTTAAGTGGCATTTAAGACCTGCTAGTGATTTACAAAGGAGGCCACATATGGAGCAAGAGTGAAGATTGTTAGATCACTGTTAGATTGGCTAACTTTTTAGTTTTTGCTCTCGTTTCTTGAAGATGATTCAGACAAGCAGATTGAAAACTGCTGAGTCCACTAAAACATGTTGATCTCTATTCTACCCGCTCCAAGGCTAAGTGCTCAAGGGTGTCATGTGGTATATAGGATAAAAATATAGTTTTAATGTATACTATATTTATGGTTTAAAGTACTCAATATCAGGGGTAAAGCATTTCTAAATGTAAAAGTGGATACGAAGGTCAACACCTAGTAACAACAGTCACACAGTTTCGCAATACTCAGGCCATAAGGATTGTGTTCAAGAATGAAACACTGTAACTGCTTAGTGTTGATCTCAGTGTCCACTTATCTTTCTCTCTCTCTCTTTCTCTCTCTCTCTCTCTCTATATATATATATATATATGCCAAGTTATTTTACTTATAAATTTTCTCTTTTCAGACTGTCGCTGAAGCATTCAGAGAAGCCAACATAGCTGCTTCTTATGGCAAACCAATCAACTTTTGATGAATATTCTTCTGTGTCTTTAGGTAGCAAGAATTTTTTTTCTTTACAAATTCTTTTAAAACAGAACTTGCCTCCATCCTAAGTTAAACAGTGGGCACTCTGGGAAAAGCCAAGAAAATCACCACTTGACAAGACCAAAATGAAGACACAAATAAAAAGGCGTAACAAATGTCTCTCCTTGTAATGGGTTGGCCAACATCTCTAATCTGAAAGAGGATAAGTTCCAAGGATCATTGACTTACAGAATAACCAGCTTCCCTCATTAAAGCCTTTTTCTTGGAAGTGCCAGAGGATCATGCCCTCATGAATCCTATATCAAACTATAACTCCACCAGGGTCAAACATTAAATTATATAACTGTATATATGAATTTGTTGTTGAATTCTTTTTCTTTTTGAGTTTCACAGTTCATGATTTGCAGATGAGTAACTTAGATTGGAGCATAAAATATATTGATATTGTCAAGAGATGCATAACATATTTTCTGAATATGAAATGTGTCTTTTAGAAGTGAAAAAATAAATGCAAGAGGTCCTGACATTTTTTCCACTTTCATATTTATATATTGGATATATTTATATTTACATATATATATATATATATATATATATATATATATATATATATATATATTGCTTAAAAGTTGTCTGTGTGGCAGCATTTAATCTCACCACAAGTGTTGCTATTTGTCTTTGCAAGTGCAAGTCCTTTTTTTATGCAAACTAGGAGTCTATGCATTTAGTCTGATGACTGTCATGGGTAAGATAACTTGTTTTACAATAGAATGTTATTCTTACAACCTTTAAAAGAAATATACTTGGCATTGAATTGGTTAACCATCATTGGCATATCACTTTATTTGTGGTTATTTACATGTATCATGTGTAGTTATTGGGGAGGGAATGTTTAATCGTTTGGAATTTAGTCTAAGAAAAATAAATGCCTTGCTTTACAGCAGCAGCTACCAAGCTAGTCTTGCAGACTTACACTGTAGTAAGTTTGATTCCTACTGTGCTCTCCATGCTTATGGCCTTGTGCCATACTAGGATTAGTGAATCTCAATTTAACCAGTAGATAATTGCTTATGATTTTTTTATTTTGATATATTTATTTTGAGTGTCTCTCTCACACACACACACACACACACACATATATATATATATATATATATATGGAAGAGTTCCAAGCAACGTTAAACATGTGCATATAAGACGCTGGAAGCGAAAAACGCACCGCAGCCCATGATGTCCCACATGAGAGTGAATTCGAGAAGTATTTGTTGGTATAAACTGATGGCTTCTGTTACCAATTATAGGCATTTATCTTTGATAATGGCTTATGTAATCCGAAAGCTTAGATAGGATTAAAAAATCTCCACAAATATTCTTAAATGCCTATAATTGGTAACAGAAGCCATTGGTTTATATCAATGGCTTCCCATACTTAATAGTTCTCGAATTCACTCTTGTGTGGTCATGTGTGACGTCATGGGCTGCAGTGCAATTTTCGCTTCCAGCATCTTTATAAGCATGAGTTTGTTGTTGCTTGGAACTCTTCCATGTAAACAGAAACAGACTATCATCACTGTCTTGTTCGTGTATTGCTAATATATATGTGTGTGAACTCATTTGGTTCACCATCCTTTACTGTTTTTTTTTTTTTTTTTTTTTTTTTTTTTCCTTGAACAGGAAGAGGTTTATTCCTTGTTTCCTGCTTAGGATTGGGTTTCTGGTTTCTTCTAAAGCCAGCCTTTTTACAAGTTTTTGTACAGGTCCTGGTACCCTTGAAAAGTCCTGGGAAATTGACAAGGCCTTTTCCAGGGCTTGAAAAGACCTGGAAAAACAGTAATATCCCAAAAGCTTCTTGAAAAGTCCTGGAATTTTCTAAATTGGGCTGCCCACACAACTTTTCTCAATTTATTAAAGTCAAAATGCCAAATTTCAGAAATTTGGCTTTTTTACAAGCTAAAATTGTTCTTTAAGAAAAATGTATTTTTAGTTGTCGCCAATATTTGGCAATTATTGTGAACAGTGGTTTGTTTCCTTGATTAGAACAAATTGATGACCACATAGTTACTTCTGTATTTTCTTGTCTAGGTGATGAGAAAGAAAGGGAGGAAGAATATGAAGGCGTGTCTTCTAGCTGTTACTCTCATTCAACAAGAGAAGAGGAAAAACAAAGATAAAAGGCATCAGAGACAAGTAAACATCTCTGTTAAAGAGAAATTAATTTACACCGATTGAATTTGTAGTTAAAAGGAAAATAAATTATTCTACAGTAATAAAATACATTTTTAGAAGAATCTCGAAAAATGTATCAGTGTTTTTTAAAATATGAACAATTGAAGAAATTTTATTCACATGTCAATTTCAAAAGTAAAAAGTCCTTTTGATCTCTAGTCAGCAGTGGGTGAATTCATACCAATAAAATAGATACTTTACATGTCCTGTGTCAATATATATCTATGTGTAAACTACATTTGTCTAAATTGTTGCCAAAAGTAACAAGTTTGAGAATCAAATTTGACTCAAAGAAAATGTAGATTAAATAAAGGGTTCAGTTTGAAATTCCCTGTAGGCTACCTGGATTGATATACACCTGATGAATGCTGGTGGACACAATGGCCAAAACATTGTAATAACAACAAAGATGAGGACAATAGTCTGAATGTAAATGATGTAAATAATATATAGGGAGATAAAGAGAGAGACATGTTTCATTAAATAATTTAGACAAATTGTGTCTGCTTATTTTCAATTACATCCTTTCATATTCACAGACAAGCTTTTTGGTGTCATTATTAAAGAGAGAAAATCGCCATGTTGATACATATACTTTTGACATAGCACAATGTCATCATCAGAGGTGTTGTTTATTTCAAGACAAATATTGTAATGTTCTTCATTTTCAAAGATAAAATTGCTGTGTTCATCTGAAAGTGAAATTTTTACTTGTGAAGAACACTGAGTGAGTATGTGATCACTTGACTACCACTTCAGAGGAGGTAACTAAGTATGGTGTGTTGAGTTTTGATGATGACATTGTGCTATGTCAAAAGTACTCATAATAAGATATGTATTAACACGGCGATTTTCCTCTTTCTTTAATAATGACACAAAATGCTTGTCCAAGAATATGAAAGGATCCAATTGAAAATAAGTAGACAAAATTTGTCTAAATTATTCAATGAAACATGTCTCAATGAAAACATGCATGCATATATATATATATATATATATATATATATATATATATATATATATATATATATATATGAAAATTACAAGAATGAGGTCTCTTTTTCCAGGCTAGCTGAACTCAAATACCACTCAGATAACTTGACCTATAATATTCAATAAATTAAAAATATCAAGTGACTCATCTGATTAGCCAACTTGAAAGTTTTGCATCAAAAACAATCATCAGGATCAGATATTTGGTAATTCTGTTATCAGATCTCATAATCAGCTAAGTCATTTGAACTTTTTTAATTTATTGAAATATATAAAACTATATAAATGTTTATTGAACAATTTTAGGAAAAACAATGACATTGGGGGAAAGTTTCATGTGATACATTTCAGCCTTTAGGACTTCATTCGACTAAAGTGATGTTTACATTGATGTTACTACACATGTGCATGAAGGAGATGGGGGCACTGAGAATTTAAAATTTATTTATTTATTTATTTTTTTTTTTTTTTTTAAATATGTATTAGGTTATATAGTCTTGCTGATTTCATTTACTTTCTTTTTGTTATTATCATGTTTTTTTTTTATTCCATATCCTACATTGTGATAATAGAAGATCTGCAAAAAGAAAAAAATGTAAGAACCTGGACATAAATTTACTGTGGATGATTTAGTAATTAAAACATTTTCTATACATCTTAGTAAATTGATTTTCTCTTTTAATTAGAGTAGCATATTTTTTAATCTCGAGGTCCTTGACAAAATCCAGAGATGGATATGCAATATGATAGATCCTGACCCGGTATTTTGTCTGCAGCAGTCACTTTCTCACAGACGTGATGTGGCTTCCCTCTGTCTCTTCCACAAGTATTTTCATGGCTACTGTTCCGACAAGCTACTTTTGCTGGTTTCCAGACTGCATGAATTTAAGTGAGCTACTAGGTTGGCATCTCAGTCCCACCCTTTCACTGTTGAAACAGTTAAATGTAGCCATCTCTTCTACTCAAACAACTTCTCTTGCACTTCCTGTCTCTGGAATTCCCTTCCTCTTACTTGCTTCCCTGATAACTATAATCTTCAAATATTCAAGTGTAATGTCAATTGACATCTCCAGATGCCTTGATTTTGTTCCCCGTCCTTCTCTTTATTCTTTCCTCAATCTCACCTCTTTACTCTTGTTCTCGGCCCTCTGTAACCCCTTGTGTCCTTGTGGGTTACAGAAAGTGAAATGCTTAAAAAAAAAAAAAAAAAAAAAATCAAAATTATTGTCAGACTCCTTACGGTAAACAACTAATGCATTTAGTGAGTTGTTTTGTAAAAAAAAAATCCCTTTTGTGTTCATGTGTTTTAATTAATTTCCTTGAGGTTTCTCCTATGTATTCCTTGTGATAATTATTACAGATAATAGAATAAATTCCTAGTTTGCCGTAGTTTTTTTTTTAACCCTAAGATCTATATATCAGATTAATAAGTAATCAAATAACAATGAAAAAAGAAATCCAAAGTAACAGGTTTTGTCTCTAGTCTAAAGTTGCTTCTTGTGACAAAACTACTTTTCTTTCTGTTTGTTGCTCAAGTCTATCTTTTTTCTCTCTAAATGTAAAATTAGTGGCATTGAATCCTTCTGCAATTCCAACTAAGGTGAAATGGTATTGGCAGAATGAGTGATAATAATTCCAGAAATCCCTATGTATAGCCAGTTCCAGGACGAAAAAACAAAGAAATGTATGGAGACCATAGCTTGAGTTACAAAGACAAGTTCAAAGATAACCTGTAAATGATGATTCCTCCAGAAACATTTTTTTTTC